AGTATGCTCTGTTACTGAGGAAAGTGGAAAATAGGAGCAGCATCTATTTCCAAGTCAATATGACAACAGGTTGAGGTTTTTCCCCTTTGCTTTAGATTAAACTTAATTGCTAAGAAGTGGACCTCTCCTGGTACTTACAGCATCTATGGCATAAGTAAAAAATAAAAGTGCAGAGAAAAAGAGATAAAATATGCACCCTGTTTCTGTAATGTTTAGCAGAACTTCTGTTGCTCACCTTTAAATTGCAGCTTCTCTAGCACTGAACAATCTGTGTTTAAATTAAGTGCTATGTTTCATAAAGCAGCGGTGTTTGCTTGGGTTTGAAAACTTGCAGAATGGAGACTCTATTCTCTTGCTCCTTCTGTAATCTGAAAGCCTGTATAGGAGAATGATTTGCCAAAGGGAAAGAAGCAAATAAAGGGAAATTGTCTCCTTTTCTCACCAGGACACCTCTTACTCTGGTGTTGAGAAGCTACAGTAAATTCAGCTGACATAACGTAGACATACTGGTCCTTGAATTGTAAAGAAGTTAATATAGGTCAAGCATGCTTTCTAAACATCTTTGAGCACAAAGAGAGGAGGTAGAAAAGGACCCTGTGTGCAGGCACCTCGGGGCCAAAGAGCAAGATCATGAAGTACCCTGTTTTTCACAAGCACCTAGTATCCCTAGCTGAGGTTGAGCCTGGCAAATAGAAACACCTGTTAATAAGCACTTGGAGTGCTTTCCTTTCCTCCTTGCTTCCCCCTTCTTCCCCTTCCAATCTAATTAGCCTGTAAACAAAGATGGCGAAAGAAAATGGAAGTAAAGAGGTGATACCTTTTTGCCCAAAGCCACACAATAGGTCTGTGGCTGAGCAAGGAAGAAAATGCAGGTCTCTTGTATCTCAGGATGTTGCTTTTTTTCATATAGGACTATGTTGCTGCTTAGCAGCAAGAGTTGTTGCTATCAGGATAGAGGACCAAAATTGATTGGTATTTTACAAATGGGTGTTTTGGGGCTTCCTTTTTTTAACGTGAAATAAAATTTGAAAATATTGAATCACTGCACTACAGCATAGACAAAAGAAACAGCATAGCAAAAGAAACTGGCTTAACCTTACTGAAAGCAAGGAAGCTGAGAACTCTTGAATTTGAGAGAAGCGACTATTTTATAATTTTTAAAAGGCTAGAAACTGCGTTGGTTCCATGGAAAAAGTATGTGAAAAGCACTTTTTGCTGTAGCAGAACTGATGAAAGTCAAACTCCTTTCTGAATGTTGAGAGAACTCAAAAAAAAAAAAAAAGAAATGTTAAATTCATACAGTAGTTTAGGGAATAGCAATAAGCCTCCAAAACTAGGACAATCATCAGGTGGTATTTTGTGCTTTCATTTCCAACCAAATAAATAACATCTGTGCCCCTTACTTTATGCCATACTAATGGTATATGGGGTGATAGAAAAATTACCACCTAAAGAAAATGAAAAGCATAATAATGCTTTTGCAGTCACATTCTTTCCTGTTTCTCTTCTCTCTGGGGATCACTTCCCTCACACCACCAAGGAGAAAGCAGAACATGTGCTGTATAGCATTTGATTTGTCTCCAAGACAATTTCCTAATAGGATGAATTTTGTGTCCTTACTTCAGAACTTCCCATGGATAACTTTTCAGCTGTAGTTAGATGCTGTACTTTTTCCTAAGCTCCTATTGGCACTTGAGATCAGCCAGCAATGGTTCACTGTCGTGGATTTTGGCAGTATTGCAAGTGGTATTATAACTGAATGCTGGTTCCTTTAAAATCCCTCTTGATGGCTCACCAGGGTCTAAGTCCAGAGAACTTTGCCAGCAGTTCCTAAGTGATTTTCACTTATGAAAGTCTTATATCTTAAAAAAAAGTGGGTTTTGCTGTAATGGCTAGGAAGCTTAGTAACCTGTTCTTCAGTTTGTGATGGCTTAGGTATTAATCTAGTGTGCTAGTCTAGTAGAGTAATAATTGGTGCTTTTAAGAATAAATTCTAGCTTTGTTTCTATTGGGAAATCTCCTACACAGCCAAGGCTTCAGGAACATTATTCTATTTGTCTCTATCTTTTGTACAGCCGTTTAGAATTAAGAATCCTCTGTTGCTGCATTTCACTAAGATTTGAAGCTATGGGATGGTGGTTTTTATAATTTTGAATTAAATTGCAAAGGTAGTCTTCAAATGTGTAGAGGGAGGGTTAGGCTTCCACCTTCCATGGCAATTCAGTGGGGGTTTGGTGACCCTTGGGATCTTCCCTGCAGTGCTTTTGAGGTTGCAGTTACATTTCCATAACAGCAGGTGGGTACAACTTATGGGTTGGAGGGGAATTTGGGAGGACTGGTCTCCTTGTAGTCAAATGAGTGTTGAGGTTTTACCTAACAGAGATTAAAGGCCAGAGCACCTGATGGAAGATGTGTATAGACTCTGCTGCTAACAAAACCAAGTTTGAACTCCCTTTAATTTCAGTGGGTATTGATCAGGTCAGATAATTTATGAAGTGATCCGTGGTATTTAAAGTCCTAGCAGAAACCTTCAGCACTGTTAATGAAGAACCAGATACATATCTGTGCTGCATTTATTTACTGATAAGGCAGGCTGTCTGGCCCAGTGTGTCTCTGAAGTGTTCGTTCATCATTGTTTGGGGAAGGCTGATAACTTGACTTCTTATGATGTTAATATGGCACTGCTACACAGTTCTGAAGAGAGAGTCCAGCTGGTAAACCAGTGGGTGAGTTACTGCAGACCACCTTGTGGCAGCTGATGTTAACAAGGAAGGATGTAACTCCTAAGTCTAATAGAAATGTGCTTAAAATGTGCTTAACAGAATCAAGTGGCCTTTTCCTGGAGTTGTGTGAAGTGTCCATTCAGTTCTGTGTTACTCCTCAGAACCAGACAGACCTCACAACTGTTGCTTCAGCTTACAAAGCTGGGTTAATTGTATGGAAAACTCTTTTAACAATAGAAACAAAATTCTCGTAAGGTGTTGAGCTGTGACCAGGTAATCTGACTGTGGGTCTAGACTGGTGATTTTTTGTTTCGTAGCATCTCTTAAAAAATGCTTCAAAGATGTCACCTTCAGAAACATTTAGTGCAGGTCTGACATGCTGTGCTCAAGTCAAGGGGTTATACAGATCTGTAGGAGCAGCGTTAGGTTAATGTTGAAGAACACTGGAAACTCTACTTGAGTATCTTTTTCCAGGTAGTTGTCCATGAAATTCCCAGTCAGTATCTATATACCTGTACAGGTGGTCAAATGTGGATTTTATACTGCTGCAGTGCCTGTAATATTCTGACGATGACTTCTCATGTTGCCTGTGTGATAATAAGAGATGGAACTCGCTCCTTGTTTTCAGACTCTTACTGGATTAATCTAGTAAGGGCTGTGGAGATGCAGTTACAGTCTTGATCGTCTGGGTGGTGCTTTTGGGTGGGCTTCACCGCAGGATGAGCATACTGGAAATCATATTGTGAGTTCCTACTGTCTGACTTTGTTTACAGATTGTCTTTTAACATTGTTGAAGACTTGGGTTGTTTTCTCCCTTATTCTTCTGAAGTGTCTGTTCTAGATTTGCTTTAGACTTAATTTTTTTTCTTATTATTTTTTTGGCTTTAATCAGAAGTGATCACAGTAACAAAACTTGCTTGGGTGTCCCAAATGGAACTTCTGTTTGCAACTTTAGGCTAGGGTGATAAGCAGCTTTGCTCCTGGCCTTATTTTTGTGGTAGTGGTGAAAAGTGCAGTTCCAGAGACCCTTCCCAAAGAACTATTTTTATTTTTTTTTTTTTTTTTTTTTTTTTTCCTCTACTAGTATTCCTGTGGTTTGGGGTTTTTTTTTATCACTTTCTTATTGACATGTACTGCTTGAGACCACAATATGTGTTTCAGTCCTAAGTGGTTCTTCTGCACTAAGGCTGTTCAAATCAGTTGCCGCTATGGCTTCTTTGGTCATTTATTTGTGTGTAATTTATATTGGGGTGAAAAAGGAGGAGGAACTGTGTCCTAAAAGGAAGAGCTGTAAAGTACAATGCAGTTTATGCATTTATCTGGGAACTTTGTAACTATCCTTTTGGCTTTGGAACCCATGAGTAGTAGTGTTGTCCTGAGCTTAATGCATAAAAAGCATATGAAGTCTTCTCTCATCAAGCAATCTCTTCTGTCCTATCTTTTCTCCCTTTTGATCATCTGATTTTCTGTTTCTGTCTTATAAAAGGCAATTCTTCTATAATTCAGTGTTACTGTTCTGACCCACAGATTGTTTGAGTGTTGTGTTTTCCCATACTGCGTTCATATGATTAATGTTTACCCCTGCAGTCATGTTGCTATAGAGTTATCAGTGAAGTATTTAGATTTTAAGAACAAAAAACAGCAGTTTTGTTGATTTATTTAAACTGCTACAGCCTGAGTCTTCCAATAAAACTGCATTAAGTTTCTGTGTCAAAGGTAACATTTCTAAGGCTCAAGATGGGAGAAGTCCATAGATTAGGTTGACATGGCAACAAATTATAGCTGTTACCAAACATGGAGTACTAATACTTGTATGTTGAGCAGCAGTTACTTTGGTTTGGTTTCTTGTTTCCCCAGCCTTCTGAGTGAAACAACTTCAACATCATTTTGCAGGTACTGTAGGTGTGACTGTTCTACTTTGATGTATTTTTAACACCACCTGTGTCTCTCTAGCCTTATTACTCTGGTACTCAGGTTTTTAGTCCCAATCCTGAGAAAACTTCACAACTGGCTATGTTAGATAGCATCTGCTTTTTGGCTTAATGCTTTTGCCAATTTGTTGATGTATTTAGATGGTATCTGTGAGGAAAGCTTTTGATGATCATTGGAGGTCTTGCAGTGGTTTATTTTTTGAAAAGTTAATATTGGATACCTAGTTTCTCAAGTCAGCTGAAAACTAAAAGGCTATATAGAAGCTTAGTGAAAGTAGTTTCATATTGCCACAGATATCTTGATGCTAAAACTGTTCTTTTTTTTTGTTTGTCTGTGTTTGCATAGAAACTGTGTGAGGGAATTCTGAACATCCTTGAAAAAGACACAAAAACTTCATGTCAAGTTGCCTGCTTGGAGGCCCTCCGGATTCTCTCCAGGGACAAGAAGGTTTTAGTGCCTGTAACCACGAAGAGGAACATGCAGATCCTCATGAGGCTAGCAAAGCTGGACACTGCAGAAGATCCTTTGGAGAGAGTCTCTGAATTTCCTGTTATAGTAGAAGCTTTAAAATGCCTCTGTAATATAATTTTTAATAGTGCTGTTGCACAGAAGCTCAGTTTGGAACTGAATCTTGCAGCTATGCTCTGCAATCTTCTGGGAAAATGTAAGGACCAACAGTTCATTGATGACATTAAATGCTTTGATTTGCGTCTCCTCTTCCTCTTGTCACTTCTGCACACAGATATCAGATCACAGTTGCGTCAAGAACTACAAGGGGTGCAAGTTTTGACTCAGGCTTTGGAAAGTTCCCTGAGTGTAAGATGGACAGAAGAATACAAAGCAGCAGAAGATCGTGACAGGCCTCCTCTGTCTTTGCAAGAGACAGATTGTGCCATTGAGGCACTAAAAGCTCTTTTTAATGTAACACTTGACAGTTGGAATGTCCACAGTGAGGTAAGGCTTAGCTGAAGTGTTCTTGAAAATGGTTTTGTTTAGCCTGCTGTTTACTAATAATCAGCTGGCTAGGAAAAACTATTTAATGTAAGTGTATCAATAGCTGCATCTCTGGTGTGAACTGTAGCAATGGGATAATAATTAGAGCTGGGAAGTCTTGTCTAGTTTTCTTCTGGGTTTTGGGGGTTGTGATGATAAACGCATCAACTCTAATTTTTAACAAATAACTGAAGAAAGAGGAAAGAATGCCACTGTTTTTAATACCTGTATCTCCTGTCCTCCCAACACCAGCTTTGGACTGAAACTTGATCTTTTAAGGTGAGGTCAAGTATGAGAACCAAATGCATTTTCATTGTTACATGTTACGATTAGGATTTATCTTGGTTTTTTTCATTGTAGCATCAGATCTGCTATTTTGTTCTTGAACAGATAAGCTTCCAATGTGTTGCATCCCTGAATTTCGAAACAGAAATAGTAACTTTTTCTTATTGAATAACCCAAGTCTCTGCTACAGTTAATAGAATTATATAGGGAATCTTTCTTTTTAGTTCCCATCATATTGTCTCTAAAACAGTGTTGTTAACTTTTCACTTGTCATTGTAAATACGCAGCACATAAAGCTAAGCAGAAGTTTACACTAGTTAAAATCGACACAATTGTTCTCTTTACTGCAGTGGACTAAACAGCAAATGTGACATTAATCGTAACAGTAAGGGAGGTAAAACTTGAGAAGAGTCTAAAGCTTATTCTTTGCTTCAATGCCTCAAGGGTACCCTGAATAAGAAATCCTGAAATTTAAGATGGGAGGAGGGTCAAAGAAGCTCAAACTGTGAATTTAAGGGAAAAGAAAATGATGGACTTTTCTCTTGTTTATGTTCCTGGCTTAGACTTTCATTAAAAATAACTGTTAGGGAAAGTTCTTTGTAAAGGCAAGTGATTGTTTTGGAGGGAGAAATGAGTGGAGAACAATTACCCAAAGTCAAGTATGTAACACAGCTATATGAATGTTTACTTGTCTGGAGTTTGGAAAGTATTGTCTTTGTGATTAAGTTATTCTGTGAGGAGGAATAATGTCAGGTGTTAAGCTGGAAAATGAAGCTGTGTCACATGTGCACTTCATAAGAAGTAAGCTCTTGAAATCTGAATCTTGAAGTTGGTGTAATCTTACAAAATACTGGGAATCCTGAGACATGAAAAGCCCAGTTTGCTGCAGGAAGGCGGGTGGGAGGTGGCACAAATTTGTGGTGTTACCTGATGAGGTTTCCTGTGGCCATCATCTGAACGAAGAGCCCATGCATGCAGCTGCCAGGAAATTTTCCTTTCTTTTTTTTTTTTTTTTTTTTTTTTATGAGAGTTTAAAACATTCTGAGGTGGGAGAAGCTGATTTTATGTTTTGAGACAAGGTTTATATAATGTCTCTACTAAAAGTTCATAAAAGCAAGGAACCTTTACATTAAATCACACTTTAGTGATGGTTAGCCACATACTTTAGGTCATTCTGCTTAGTGAGTATCCCTGTGGAAATACTAATGATTTATAAGAAGAGTAAACAGGATGTTAATTAAGTGAGCTGAAGATGCAGAATCTGAAGGGATTACAAACAGTAGACGGGATGGAAAATAAAAAGAGAACAGAGGTGTTTGATGTGTGGCTAAAAACCTAAATGAAGTGCATCCTAAGAAGAAGAGAACCACTTGAGCCATCAGTATATAATGACTGGAGATGGTTTCAAAGTAGCAGAGCCAGACAAGAGCCGCATGTGGTACAGCTAGCAAATCTGGGTGCTGATGTTACAAGAGATGCATTGGGATGCTTTGTGCTAAGTCAGACACACCAGAACATATGGTGGATGCCAGGAAGAGCTAATGAAAAAGGATGAGGACAATGATGGACACAGTTAAATGATTGCAGTTACTGGTGTACTTTTGTGTGCTGATGTCTGGTTGGAGATTGGAAGGGGAAATCGCTTCGAGAGAGCAAAAGTAGGGCAGATAAGGGTGCTGGGAGTAGAGAAGTTACTAATGAAACGGAGAAAAGGTATCAAAGGAACAGAAGCAAGTGAATTAGAAGAAGAAACACACTGGGTGGGGGAACAAAACTGTTGGCAGCAAAAGGTCTAAATGAGAAGGAGACAAATGAAATGAAGAACATAAGTAATTAAATGTTGAAGAAGCATCCTTTTGTAAATGCAGGAAGAAAGATAGTATTGGTATATTAGGAATAGTAGTATTGAATTGAGCAAATGCTTTAACGGGGTGTTCTGGTAGTGAAAGCTCATTTAACTGGAAAAAACTCCCCAGCAACTTTCACCAGGCTTAGTTAAAAGGCCAGCATATGACAGTTATGTTGCATTAAGCATTCAGAGAACTGTAAGGTACAGTCCTTTTATTGATAGGGATGGATGTTATGATCTAATAGGTATTTTCCATCTTTAATTTTTATTATTCTAGTGACCTGAAAGTCCCACTTGCAATCTTCAAAATGAAAAAATATCTTCATAATTTATATTTATATAGAATGAATCTCATCAATTTCGTTACATGGCTGCCATCCTTCGACACTGCTTATTAACCATGGGCCCTACTGAAGACAAAACTGAAGAGTTGCACAGGTGGGTAAAACTGCAGAACCAGTCTGCTTTGAAACGTTTTGTTTGGGGTTTTTTTGATAGGCAAAAAAGTACTTTGTCTAAAATCTAAAGTGGAAAGCAGAGAAACAATAAACTTAATTTTGAGTAAAATGCTAATAATCTTTTTTGATGTAAACTATTTGCCTGAAATATTGTTTAAGCATGTCCACTATTCGAGAGGGAAAGTGGCTGGTAAGATTGTTAGTTTTGATCAATAATGATGAAGCTGACCTTGTTGAAATCTTTTTGTGTGCATATGTAACCGAGAATGAAAATACATATGGAAGTTGTAGGGGTAGTGCAAATTGAAGTGGAATGCAACTCCTGTTATTTTGCGCAGAAGCTGATGGAAAAAATGTGTTTGGAGAATTTCTGTGTGGAACTTTTGCAGTTCTGATAGATTGGGATGGAAATAAGTTGGGATTTTTATTTCCATTTGGTTTAGGCTTCTTTATTAAAAGTACAAATATCAACTCCCTGCTAATAATATTTTTTTGCCAAAGATGAGGGACTCATCTTGTGATTTTAAGTGCACTAGGTTTTTTTCCTTAGTCCTGCACCCAACTGTTTGTTACGTATTTACAGCCAATAATGCAATCAAATTCAGAGTATTTTTAGTGAGGTGGTGGTTCTTTGTTCATTGTTACTCTTTTTTTCTGTGACGCCCTATTTTTATCCATCTAGGTCAGGGCCTGACACTCTGGTAGCTTCAAACACTTACATGTTATCTCTGCAATGAAAGTTAGTGTTGCCATTTTCTTCAGAGATGTCTGTATATCTAAGCGTTGGATCTTTTGAAGATCATCTTCTGAACTGGCAGTCTCCAGGAGGAGGGATATAGCTTTTCTCACCCAGCAATCTTGAAAGTGTTAAATGAACTCGATTAAAGTCTTGGAAAGCTCTTAGAGATCAACAGTCTTAGTAGGTGAACACTAAAATCCTACATCAGAGCCCTTCACAGTTGGCGCAGACTAGTTTGGAATAATTTAGGATACCGCTGCAGTAGTTGCCATGACTAAAGGTAGTGCTGTGTCCTAAAAGGCAGTCTGTTTTCTCTTGGCTGCTCCTTGTGGTGGGTTTTTTGTGCTCTCATCCTTCTTTAAGGGAGGGACTGGTAGGTTCCCCACTACTGGGAAAATCTGAGAGACTTGGATAAATGCAGCAACTACAAGACAACAGAGATTAGCCTTTAAGCATTTAAGTTTGTACATAGTCAGCAAGACTGCCTGATATGCTGGTGAATTACTATACAGCTGATGCTCATCCTGTGAAAACATCATCTGTTATCTTGTCCAGGAATCTGACTAGTCTAATCACCCTGTAAAAATCAATTCGTGCTGTTGCAAAAGGGTGTCTATTATGCAGGTCTTCTTGGTTTTAGCTTTTGCAAACACTTGCAGATAAAATACAAAAAGGGCTTTACATACAGAATTAGGCAGCTTTAGAGAATATGTAGTACAGGTGTGATTTCTGTCCTCTTTTCAGTCAGAAGGGATGTTTCATGTAGAGATGCTGCCCATGTTGCCTTTACTGAGATGCCAAGGCAAGGATTCTCCATAATTCTGAGAGGGAAGCAGAAAAGAAATGAGAATGGTTATGATTGCCTGTGTCAGCTCAGTTGTTTTCCCTTCTCCATTAGACTCAGTGTGGCACTGCATCAGTCTTTGCATCTGTTATGCTGGGAAAACAACTTTCTCCCTTTGTTAGCTGTTAGATACCGTCTGTAGCTAGTTTGTTTAGCTCAAGCTAATGGAAGAAAGAATGCGAGTATAGTATTGCTGCGTGTAGTATTCAACCTTGATTTACGTCAAAGTCAGTGGTTTTTAACATGCTAGAAAAACACTGGGCAGATTTTGACTTTTGTGATACGGGCATTTCAGCCCATTTGCAGAGCCTAAATTTTGTCCATGAATGCTGCAAGATGCAATAAAAGCTGAATAATTTAACATGTTTTTCTGCCAAGACTATTCATCACAAGTCTGTTCTGGAATAGAAAAGGTATAGTCAGAAGTAGTGCCCTTGCAAATCCTCAGAGGGATCAGGAGCCTGGATCAGAGGGCCCCACTTCAGTCCCCTATGTCAGGGACTTGGTCAAGCAAAACTTTAATTCCTGATAGGATCTTCAAGAATGAATGAGTAAACCTGTGTTAGCAGTCTATAGCTAGCATAGCATAGCTACAGAAATGAGGCTGTGTTGTCATTTGGGCTGTTTAGGATGCTGGACTCTGACCGTGCAATCTGTATTGCTAGAGATGAGGTGTGAGTTGGAGAGCAGAGTGCCACTTCTCACTTTGAGTTCCACCTGGAGCCTATCAGTAAGGAAATTATGAAAATAATGTTAAAAGAAATTAAACTATAAGCAGTATTGAATGCAGAATGAACTCTATGAAGCATCAGGGGGCATAAGTTTACTTTCTTAGAATTGCTGATCACTTGCACTTCTCTCTGTTTGTAAATCTACAGAATGTAGGATCCTTAAATGAAGGGGACGGGCAGCCTGTTAAAGCACATTGTATGAATGCTTATGCTCTGAATTGAATGCTTATGTTCTGAATGTGTAAGTTGAGGATTTATTTTATGTGAGCATCAGGTGTTGCATACACGCCCTAAGCTGTGATGTGCTGATTGTCAGTGTGGCTCTGTTTCTAATAAATAAGTTACCTATAAAAATATCTTAACTAATTTAGTAACTGGTATTGTTGTCATTATCATGGTTCTGTTGTATCATTACTTAATGTTAGAATATGAACAGCTTAAAGCACCACATATTGAGAGTGCCATTTTTGCCCACTAACAAGGTTTTAATCAAGGCATTCAGCAGCTCTAAATAGGCCTTTGCTTCTGAATTTGCATATCAGGAGGGGGCTGGGAGCATGAGTGGGTGGATGTCATGTCCCAGTGATTAATGATCTCTAGGAAGCCTAAAAGGGAAGAGTAATATACGCAGTATTTCTACCCCCTGGAGTAGGAATGCAAACACTATTGTGCAGATCTGTGCATAGTCACTGACTTCCTGGTAGCTGGAGAATTTCATACACTCCTCTACCACAAATAAAACTGTCAGTGGAGTGACAAAGATCAGAAAGCCGGGCTTCATTTATTGAAAAGAATAGCTCAGACACAGTGATCCAGAAAATTAATTTTGTAGGTGTTCGGAACTTGGTTGTTTAATAAGAAACTGGTAAAAAGAGAACTTCTGATGAAAGGCCTGAAGCCACCAAATATTTGTTGAATTTGTCTGTTTTGTTTCTGGCTATGCCTGAATTATTGGAGAGGAATAACTTCCATGATATGAAAGAAGTATTTTAAACAGGAACTAGAAACAAAACAAAGAGAAACAAGCTTTCCAAAAAGTAGAAGTTGTCTGAATTTCAATTGCTAACAGAGCAAAAGGGAGATGGCACAATGTGGCACAGCCACCGAGTCTGCGTAGACCAAACCCAGCGCACTTGTTAGAAATCCTGCTGTATTTGATTGCCACAGTTTGCTTTCTCTTTCACTAGTTCTTTGTTAAGATTATATTAATCGCATAAAAACTTAGGGCAGCTTCTGAGTAGGTGTTATTAAAAGTGAAAAGTTTATTCTTGGAATGCTTCGCCAATCCCTGAAACTTCAGTACTTGTTTCATTGACAGCTTTGAGGTCTGCACATGTAAGGTTAAATAGTTCTGTAGTATTTTTAAGTATATCCATTTTCAAGTTTAGTTGGGCATCAGCAAGTAAATAATGACAAGAGTTCTAATTTTTGCGGAGTTTGTGTAATTCAGCCACATATTAAGGAAAAGTACAAACACAACTCTGTATGATGAGAACAGATAGATAGCAAACGCGGGGGATGTGTATGCACCATACAAGAGACCCTTGCAAAGTGAGTTTCTTCTTAATCCACTAAAGATGAGGGAGAGACCCTGTGGTCTAATTTAAATCACTTAATGGATATTTGGGAAGTGCACTTCTTTGTGCTTTGTAGAATGCAGAGGCTGTCAGTTACTGAAAGTAGTGCTCAGGAAATAAACCTGGATCTTTTTTTTTAGTGTGTTAAAAGCCTTCTGTATTTCCAGTGCACTACAAGCCAAGTAAAAGTGAAAATATTTTGGGGAACCTGAGAGATTGCCACCATGATCCACTGTTACAGGAGGAGGAAATGTTTTCTGTGATGTACTTGGGCTCACTAATGATTGTAACACAGATGCGTTGTAAAATGTTACAAATTTCAAGGAGGAGAAGGCTCTGACCGCTGCAAGTCAATGTGAGAGTTCCCCCTGCTGTCCTGCAAGATCAGCTGCTGTAATGCACTTCTGGATGCTGTGCCTTATCTGTGGGATATAGGATACTGTGGAGTTTGGAAGTAATAACGCACTGCTGCAGTATAGCTTTTGGAGCTTTTGTCTTTCTTTTTGCTTGTTAGTTCTAAGATAATGCATTCTGCCTTCCTTAAAAACCAGGGAGTAGAAAATAAAGCATTGTTTGAGTTGCAGGGCCTCTTTTTGGTTGCAATTGTACAGTTTATGGTGAGTTGTACTCTGGTTTTAATTCTTTCTTCCAAATGAATAATAATTATTTTATTAAATCTGTTTCAGCAATGCAATCAACCTCTTAAGCAATGTTCCCGTTTCTTGCTTGGATGTTCTTATTAAACCATCATCCCAAGAGGAAACAGATATAAAATACAATGGTATGAATATGGGAGCAATCCAGATTTTACTGGATTTCATGGAGAAGAGAATAGACAAGGTATGGGCTGCAAAGATTCTAAACAATAGGGGCCTCTTTCATTAAAACAAAAAGTGCACACATGTAAAACTTCTTACAAACCTTTCAGACAGTATTTAGCACAAACACAGATGTCCTGCTTCTAGACTGTGAAACACCTCAAAATTGAGAGTGAATATCTGAAGCGTATTTGTGTATTAGGATGGACTTACGGCTCTTTGGTGATAACTATGTAAAGTTCATGTTTTGGCTGTCACGTAGGACTTTATTGAAGGGTTCATAGGATTTGAAATGGAAGATTTGCTCTTTAAAATGTTTTATCTGTACTTGGTTTTATTTTAGGGAAGCAGCTATAGAGAAGGTCTGACTCCAGTTCTCAGTTTATTAACTGAATGCTGCCGAACTCATAGGAATATCAGGAAGTTTATCAAAGCTCAGGTAAGTAAAATATTCATCAAAATTTGAATATGAAGCTAGTGATAAACTTTCTGGGGTTTGTACATCAGTGCAAGACACTGACACTTTAAGAGTACAAATGGTTTCATATTAAGTACCCCCAAAATTCTCTGCAGTAGTTTCTTCTGTTAGGTCAGCTGTAGAAGTAGTTTTTCAGTCATGTTAATCAATAGATATTATGGCCTAAGTTCCATAGTACATTTTATAGAACTGTTAAATAACATTAGGGGTATTCTAAAGCTGTGATCACCTGACATGAGGAAAAAACTCAGTGAGGTCTGTCCCCTTACATCCAGCATATATATATATAAAAACAAAATCAGTGCATTTAATAAAACTTTGCAAAGCTGCGTGGTAGCCAGTGAGGCTACAGGTGTTTTGATTGGTTCAGCTTGAGCTTTACTTTGATCTCAGCAGGCATGAGTCATCGGAATTGAAGCCTGTGTACCAGTGTGTGTCAGCTGTTCTGTCAGATTAAAACTGTCCCTGAACAGAAGCACACTTCATCACTTCATCTTTTATGAGAGCTGTTTAGTACAGTACAGACCGTGGGTAGGCTTTTTATAGAAAAAAAGATGTCCATGCCACAGTTAAAGATCTAAAGGATCTCTGTGCCTGGGTATGGTGTTTTCTGTTTGTTTTGCTGCTTTTCCTGAAGTCAAACAGAGAGACGTTAAAAGACGAGCAGGGGAAGACCGCTGAAAACAGCTGAGAAATGTTCTTTTTTCCTAAGCAGAGGTGATTTTTGGTTGCATTGTAGATCAAAGCTGTGCCTGAATTCAGAAATGGAGTTTATAATGAAAAAAACCCATGTATTTTCTGATTCTTTCATCTGTACCAGAAAAGTGGTTTTGAGGAATTTAAAAAACTTGTTCTGGCTGTTTAGTGTTTTTGTTTTCAGCAGTTCTTTCCTAGGATGCTCTTCTAATCTGTTAAATAAAATAAATAAGTAAATTGCAGAGCCAAATGTTCAGACGTTAGGAAATGAAGTTGTCTGCATGTTTTTATGACATCTTGGCATCAGGATGTCAGGATATAACTGCATACTGTTTCCTACCACAGACTGCTGCCTCATATAGTGCACAGAATGGATGGATATTGCTAACTGCATGACTGGATGTTTGATATTTTGAATTACCCTCATTGTTAAGTGTTGGCCTTAGGCTTTATTTATTGTGCACTATTCAAATTCTGATCTGAAGACAGAATGATTAATTTCCTCATGGACTGTCCTATGACACTCATCACTGCATTAGTATTAAAGTACTCTGAAAACATTAATTCATTCTTACAGCACTCTGTGAAATAGCAGTCATGGTACTATCCCCACTGGGGAAAGTAAGCAGGGACAAACTGAAATGCTTTTGCTAATTGTTTGAATACTTAGTTTGAAAAAGATGGGGTCTGTTTTTTTCAAAGTATCCAATAATGTAGCATTCATTTGTTTAAGTATGGGTTCCCAGGGAGGCTGATTTCAGTAGTAATTGTGCAGTAATTTTGCACAGAACATGACATTTTGCGTTGGACACCCAGAAAAGAAAGGACCTGCAATTTCTTAAGACAATTAGTGACATCTTTGGTTTCATTCCCTAGTAAAATACTGGGGTAAACCTATAGGAGTCTTCAGATCATTAAATCTTTCATGTTATAGCCCATGTTGCTTTGCAAATCATTTCATATCCTTTGAATGTGAAAAACTTTATACAGGTTTTGAGCCTGAAGACATATGCACAAGGAGGCAGAAGTTAGGTTGCAAAACCAGCCATATTTCAAGCACCTCCTGCCTTTCTTTAGGGTTGAAGTTAATGGTATTAATGACATTTGATAAGAAAATAGTGTGTTTGAGAAAATGTTAAAAATATTTTCTCCAGAATCTTTCTGAAATTTAGCTTGAGCTTTTCAAAGAGTGTTTTCTGGGAGAAAAACATATTTCCTCTATAAATGTTGAGCTAACTTTTTAAATTCATGGTAGTAGAACTTGCACTGTGACTTCTTTCTGCTTTTTCATCATAAGTATTTTAATTGTTCTGTATAAATTACCCATCATGTTAACATTGTAAACTTCCTTAAGCTGGTATTTTTAATGCTAATGCCAGATATCTGAGCAAAACAAAGAAACAAAGAACATTAGGTCACTGATGCCTTTTTGGCCAACTATTTGGGAACAGTCATTGTGCTCTTAAACTTCTAATAGTTGTCTTTCTTTTAAAAGTCTATGTTTGGGACTGAAAACTCTTCTGCCCAGGGTGGCAGACCAGAAGTCCTGAATATGTTAAGAATATATGCGCATGAAGCATAGTTGCGTTGATGTTACCCCTTCTTTTGAAGGGGTGGAGCTTACGGTGTTTTCTTGTTCTGTTGACTGTCTCTGCAAGGATTGCCTAGGTATTGCCATGCATTCTATGCTGGTTTTCCTTTTTTTGTACTGCTAGGTATTACCTCCATTAAGAGATGTATCAAATCGTCCAGAAGTTGGCACAACAGTGAGGAACAAGCTTGTGCGTCTTATGACACATGTTGACCTTGGAGTAAAGCAGATTGCAGCAGAATTTCTTTTCGTTCTTTGTAAAGAGAGAGGTAAAAATTTACTTTTTCTTCTCCCTTTTATATAAGGTTTTCCTGTAATTAGCCTATTTGCCTCTTGCTATAACGCTTGATTCTTGTAACGTTACACTGGTTTGGTTTTGTAGTTGATTATAGCTGAATGATTTTCTGTTTTACCCTTTGCAGTTGACAGCTTGTTAAAATATACAGGCTATGGAAATGCGGCGGGATTGCTGGCAGCAAGGGGCCTGTTAGCAGGAGGAAGAGGAGATCACTGGTACTCAGATGATGAAGATACAGATACAGAAGAATACAAATCTGCAAAGCCAAAGTACAGTATTGTTTTAAGTTCTGCATATCCTGTTGCAGTTTAGATGTTTTGACATACTTTTATTGTTTCAACTTTTCCAGAGAGGCCAGTTTCGGAGTTACATGTTCTTGTATTAACTACTGCCTCCTGTTGACTTCATGGTCTAATTATTGAGAAACTAGCCTCTGATAGTGACCATCATATAGTCATATATCTCCATGGGGCAGGGCTGGGGGGAGTTACCATGAGAATGATTTAACTTCAGTCTGAAAACCTGTTTAGCATTCAAGTGTGAAAAGAGATTTTTGAGCAAATTGTAGGAAAAAAACCCTGTAGTAACCAACTTAGCAAGGGTGGCTTTTACCCCAGATTTTCCAGGAACTCACATGAAGTTGCCACACTACTATTGTTTGTGGGGTGTATCTCTATAACAGGAAATGAAGGTGTCAAGAGTGGCTCAGGGTTTTAAGCAGGAGTCTCTAAAAAAGAAACAAATTAGTAGGTCCAGTTTCAGCCACTCAGATTGCCAGGTAGTAAAATTCTCTGAAGGATCGAGTAGGTCCATAGAAGTCATGCATCAGGAATCCAGTATATGTGTTTGAAGGATTCAGTGATCAGATAGAAGCTCTGTCTATTGGTTTTTATTAATTGTATTTGATTTGGTGTTAGAGGTTTCAGTTTGTCATATTACCTCTATTCTTTTAATTAGATTCTGAAATTTGTCGATACTGGGCATCTGAAGCGTGTTCTTTTCCTGCTTTGCACTGAATTACACAGACATGGTTAGGTGTATGACAGGCGGTTGTAGCTTACTGGAAGATTCTTATTAAGGAACATGAACAATAGACAGAATTAAATGTATAAGAAGTTACAGGAATTACATTGCTTCTGTGCTAAGAAAGGAACTCTAAAACATGAGGTTTCTTTTTATTTCTGAACTTCAGGATTATTTTTTCCCCCACTCCTTTGTCTCTGGTCTTCTTTCAAAAGCCTAACATCCAGTAACATGCATTTATTTAGTATATAGTGTCTTTAGTATATAGTATCTATTTATTTAAAAGCTGACAATTAAATGAAACATTAAAGACAACTGTCAGTTGATTTATGCATCTTATTTGCTGTACTGCTCTTAAATGTTTGTGGTTTAACTGCTTGAAAAGAGAATTTGCCCTTAAAGTATTCTTTAAAACTATTTCTCTGCTTTTTCCTACCATTTCTGTATAGCCATTCACTTGTTTTGGAAATAAAACTGGCATTGTAAATTCTCAAAGTAACCTTAATTTGGTTTGAGCAAAAACCAGCGTGGGAGGGCAGTAGTCAACTAATTCAACAGATCTTCATGGATAAGAAAATGTAAATGGAACCTGTTTGTATTTTTGAAGTTAAGCCTGTACAGAGTTAGTTTCAAAGATGTATCTGTCTCTGTTCCCCATCTATGTCATTATTACTAATGCTGTTGTCATTATTTACCATCATTATTCCCCTGCTTTCAAACTGCTTGCGTATGGGTTATAAACATAACAAGTACTAGTGGACTGCGTATTTCTGAGTAACTAACAAGAAATTAATACTGTGAGTCAACAAGAAGGTAATATGATTAATGAGAAAAGGCTACAAAAAAGGTATAAATATGAAGCTCTTTAGTAAAAGTTTTGATGTGCATTTCAGATAGTTTTAGTCTTGGTTGTTTCTGTTGGTGTGTTTGTCTTTCCACCTATAAAGAAGATAGAAAATTGACGTATTTAGAAATGTAAACTGTCTTGTTTTTCCATCTCCAGCATTAACCTTATCACTGGTCATCTAGAAGAACCAATGCCCAATCCAATGGATGAAATGACAGAAGAACAAAAAGAATATGAAGCCATGAAGCTTGTCAACATGTTTGACAAACTTTCCAGGTATTGCATTATAGCTGCTTTTGAGGGCGGCAGCCTGTATCCTTGCTCTTTTCTGAGATCTAGTCCTTCAAACTGGTGCTATAATCAACTGCAGGATTAGGACCCCTTTAACTGCAGAGAAAAATCTTTAGCACTTCAAAGAAAAGAGTAATGTGTAACAGGACTTCAGAGGAAACCTGTTTTGGAGAGGATTGGACAGAATCAGGAGGATCTGGTGGTGAGGGGACCTGCCTCCTAAATGGATAGGCTGGTAAATGAAAAGAATTTCTCTTTTTAAAGTATGGGACACAATCCAAGCCCAAGGCAAATGTACTCATTTTCCTCAAGTCAATGAGCAGCATCTCGTGGTAGCTACTTATGTCTGCTGCTTATATGAAGAACAAATACGGTGTGAGAATACTTCTCATCAGAAGCAATAGTTTATATAATGGACCAATTAAAAGGGAATTTACAGTTAAGAATTATTGTGGATTTATTTGAGTCAGTGTGGGCTGGATTACAAATGAGCCTTTATAATTTCTTTTAAATAACTGAGGTAAGGCCATAAAAGAAGATGGTACTTAATGTGGCATAAAGGTGTATATTATTGATGCAGGAAGTTGATTTTTACTTCATAGCTTTCTGAATACAAAAAGGGAACAGTCCTGTGCTGTTAACTACAGCTTTTCTTTTTCCTCTTTGACTCAGTATGCCTAGAATTTCCTGTTTTTTCTTCCCCCCATACATGTAGCTATATTGGAGCAATTGCTTGCAGTTTGGTTTCTGTGTAAGCAAAGTTTTACATTCTTAAGGAACACTTAATGTAATACTAATTTACCAGTGAATTGAGCTGTAGGAATTTACATAAATATATTAGAGGATTGTTCTTCAAATATGGGAAAACTCAGCAGCTAGAAATGTGTTTGTGTTTGGGAGAGTCTGTAGATAATCAAACAAGATCTGTTGAGATAAATTAGCAAGTCAAGTATTTCTACATCTCTGTTAAAGATGAGGAATACAGCAAAAGATGGGAGAATCTGAATTTTATAATAGCTGACAAAGACTGAATTATAAGCAGGAGTGAAAGCAGGGAAGGATCTTGGAACAACTGACCTGAGACTGTCAGTGAAGTAATCAGATACTTTTTCCACATTATTTGCATGGAAAACAAGCGTAGTATGTTACAGTCTTTTTAATAAAGAAGATGCAGTTCACGTGCAGTGTTCATTGAACTACTGTGTAAAATGGGATGATTGCTATGTAAGCTAGAGAATTAAGACACTGAGCATTAGGGGTACTGCAATAAAATGACTAACTGGTTTAAAACTTTCTTAAAAGGAAGATTGAGACCAGAGATAAACTAAGACTGAAGACAAGTCTGTTGCTATCACTATAGCAGTTACACAAAAGTCCAAATGGCCTTACTGTAGCATAAGAAGAGCCTTTTCAGTCTGGAGGACTGGAGGCACCTGCTGTGTTGCCTGCTTCAAACTGACAATAACTAAGCAGCTGGTGCCCTGTGTCACTACTTACCCTCTGGGCCAGTAGCTTTACTTTCACCTTGGGCTTTCTGTGTCAGTTACATCCACCTGCAGTTTTGTCTATAGTGTTTAGGCTGGAAACTCTTCAGGACTGGGACTCTCTTTGTTGAAAGGGTTTTTGTTTGTTTGGTTTTTAGTATAGTGATTACTGTGGGACAGTGCTGTTGATGTGACCCCTTTTTAGGTGCTGTGGTAACATGAATAAAATCACTTGACTGTTCTTCCCACCCTTTTTGTTTACTGAAAATTGGGGGGTGAGGGGAAATGCTGGCAGGAAGGAAAAAAGAAAAGAAGACTTTGTCTTGGGAGGCTGTGGGATGTTTTTAATGAATGTAATTGAGTGCAATTGTAGGGTTTGCAGATGTTAAATGAAATGGGAAGCTGCCAGTCCTGTATGCAAGAAGAAAGAGTTGTAACATGCTGATAGTAGTGGGAGTTCCTCCATGCTTTTTGAATTGAACACTTCTACCTCCAGCTTGAGCCCTTTGGTGCTCAGAGTTTTTAGATACTTAAACCTACCAGTGGAATGCACTTTTTACCTTGGTTTGCAACCTACAAATTTAAACTGGAGCTTAATTCCGGGGTTTGAGTCTTGCTTTGAGGCAGACTGTTGGTGGCAGGTTTCCTACTTCTGCTGGTCTTTGGTGTCATCAAAGCAGGGGACATACACCATGAACTGAGCAGTTTCAGTTTGGTGCAGTGCTTTCCTTATAAAAGAGGATGAAGTTGGACAGGGAGAAAACAGCTCCTTCTTTTAGTCTTGAATGAGTTTATGTATCTGTGCAACTTGAATAAGAGCTTAGGGTGAACTTGGATGATGTACAGCAAAACTGGTTTGCTTAATACACTTGTATTGTCCTGGTAATGGAAGCTAAGCTTTGAGGAGCTAGCATGCTTTTTTTACTGGAGAAAGGTGTGAAACAAAATGAAGCTGAAGGTCTGAAGAACTTGCTTTCCTTCCTGACTGGTGAGGATTATCAGGCCAGTCTGTCACTGGGGTATTCTAGATTTGGCTTTGACTGGCTCTGTATCAGTTTTGAAATATTACCTGATGATCAATTGAAGTCAGAAAGCAAATTTACAAAACACTACTACTTCATTGCAAAATCATAGCCTGCATTAATGGCTGCTGTGTACACTGTGCTCTTTGTTTAGGTTTATTGAAACTCTAAGTAGTTAAGTGATATTCTTTCCCTTGTTCCATAAGATGCCAGTGGGCTTTTATTTTCAGCACTGGCACTGAAGAATTGAAACTGGTTTGAGATGATGTAAAACTAATGCATGCATTTGGGTATTTCAGGTCTTAGTTCCATATTGTTTCTGTTCTGTTAGGTTGTTGGTATTAGGCCTGTTCATGGGGTCATTGACCATTGACAAGGCTAAATTAAAATTAATCACCCAGTTTTGTTTTATCGAAATGCATGGAAGTAAGATGAATATTGTTTGTGAACCCAGTGTATTAGCACAGACTTGGGTTCTATGAAAGCTTTTATAGAAATTAATATTTTGCTCAAATTTGGCTAGATGAGAGTACTTTTAAAAATCATTATAAGTGTAAATGAAGATGAAAAATCTTGATATTGCAGCTCTTGGAGATGTATACATTACTCAGGTAGCTTGCTGGGTGCCTGAACTTGGCCCTGAAGTACCTATATGGGCTTTTCTGGAGTAAGGGCCGATACGATCTTGTTGATTCATTGAGAATTGTTTGGTGACTGTAAATCGGTGTCCTGTGTATGTGATGCACATCTTTCAGCTTTGAAAAACTCCTGCAAACAAGATTTAACTGAACCTTTAGTTTCTTGCAAAATATCAAGTTAGCTACCTTAAATCAGTGTGGTACGGTATTCTGTCTGCTGATATAATGGATTATTTGAGACACTCCGTGTTAATTAAAATGTCTGGAAAAAATGCTAGCAGTTTTTTCTATTATAAATGGTAGGTAGAATTGTATATTAATTGACTAATTTAAAATGTCAGGATGCTTTTTCCAAGCCAACCTTGTATTAATAGCAAGAATCCTTTTGCTGATGAAATGGTCTCCAATTATCACAGCTTGGGTTTTGTTGTACATTGAACAGAAGTCAACAAAACGAGTATGTAAGAGAACCTGTCTAAATAAGCAACCATACTCATTAAAAACACAAAATTAATCATAGGATCAATGAAGAAGGCAATGTTACATAGGGTTTTTTTTTCCTCCCCTTTTTAGCCATAGAACAAAATAATGTTACATGAAAGGATCGGAACTATTATGTAGTACTCAATTATAAGGAGGTGAATAGGTCTCTAACATGCCATTTTATCAAAGGAGCAGACTGGTGTTTACATGATGGCTGTTTGATTACTGACACTGTCATTAATTCTGTGTGTCAATACTGCCCTATACACATAAAGCAGACAAGAAAGAGTTACCCTTCAAAACAAGGGAATGATTTTTGAGTTGTTAAGCTAAATGGCAAGCAGGAAGCTAGAACTTGTATAGCTACATTTGAAGGGACTCTTGGGAGATCTGGAAGTGGAAGAAGAGAATGCATTTTACCAACTGTTTAATTATGGTGTGTTTCTAAGTACACTTGAATAGAATGCTTTGTTTGCATTAGAAAAATGAATGTTGCAAGAAGGTGTATTTGACTATATGAGAGGTCACATAAGGATGTTCAAATATTTCAAATATGCATAAATACGCACACTGTGTACTTGTATATATCTTCATGGGTATAGAAGTATTCCCACTGCCACCTACTGGGCTGAAGCAATCTATTTTCTGCCCTCTATAGATGTACTGGAAACATCCAGTTTCTGGATAGTGAACTGTCTTCTGAGGCTACACCTGCCAGTGTCTGGTGCTTTCCTTGCCACCTTGCATCTCACCTTAAGTAGAACCTTAACTATATACTACTTAAGGTAGTATTGCTCACCTTAGCACATTCTCAGCTAACCCAAGTTGTCAAAGTTCGGTTGAGGTATCTCAGCGCTGAATGGGCCAAGTTGCTGAGGCAGGCAGAACTGAGATCATTTATACCAGGTAAGGATCAGCTAACTTCAGTATGGTACTGCAGTGATGACCTTTGCAATCTAATCCAAAATTCTGTTACTTAGCAGATAGTTGTTCCAAATTTCTGAAGCTAGCTTTGTAGTCAGTCCAGATCTTTTCAGCTGTTTGTTTCCCTCTCTATTTTTCCACTTTGAAAACCAGGAGTAAGCTTGTGTGGAGTTCAGAGCTTGTAGCCATGTCTTCACTAGTGAAAGGATACCATGTTTTACACAATTTTAGGACTAGATTATAGTTAGGAAAAACCTAGGCTGATACCTGTTTCTTTTGTGTCTTCATACACTTCCCTTTCACTGGATAGTATTTGTCTGAGGAAGGATGTATGGAGTTCATCCTTCTCGTACAGAGAGAACTTGTAACAACTATCTTTCATCCTGCCAAGGACTAGCAAAGCAAGAAGCTCCTGCAGGAACAGAGAGTTAATTGATAAATACCCATGTTACTCTATGAAATCTGAGCTCAGCCTAGCTCATAGTTGAAGCCCAGAGAGAAGGAAATGCATTGGGAATGAACCTCAAATGCATTACAGAATAATTCATAACGGTGCACTTTGAAATGAATACAGTGAACTGAGAAACAGGCTTTTGAGCATCACCAAAGAAGATACAAATGCATGTCAATGACTCAGACTTCTGCATTACATTGTCATGCAAAACGTGTAACATGTCATGCAAAAGACCCCCACAAAAACCATAGACCAGTACTTGTGCTTATGGATGTCTTATCTATTACATCTGGTGTTCAGTGTCTCTCCAGGTGACTCACCAGGAGAGCAAAACTTTGTGTCAGGTTCTGTAGTGCATGTAGCAGGATGTAAAAGGGAAGTAGCTGAGAAAGAGCTGTGTCTTTGAATTTGACAAATGGTGAGATAGGACTTCCTGACGATATTTGCAGGTATGTTGTAAGGATCCCTACATGATGAGAGGGAGGCCCCCACATAAGGGGACTTGGGACCATGTTTTTCTGTCTCTTTCCTTTTTCTTGAACTGTTTCTTTATCCTTTAGTAGCCATTATAATTTATTTATTACCAGTAATAAACTGTAAATGACTAGTTAATGATGTGATCCTATGAGTTTGGGCTACAGTGTTAAATGTTGCAACCTAAGAATATATGTTACAGTTTTTAAAACAAAAACCTAGGATCCTCTGAGTTTAGAAGGCAAACAAAGGTGAATTTGTTCTTTGTAGCTATGGTTTTACTTTTAGGACTTAAAAAACAGGAGTAAGGACTTACCAGGGTATTCTCAAATATAAGTGTAATAGATCACTATTGAGGCTTGAACTTGAGTAAGTGACACTGAAGAATTGTTGCAAGATTTCAAAGGACAATTGGTTTGTGTTAAGGTGTTTGAAAGACAAAAAGGTCTTAGATATGTAGGGAGGTTTTCCTGTGAAAAAAGTCTTTGCTATTAGATGCAACTCCAAATCCTAGGCTCTTCATTATGGCCCCCAGCTTCCCACCCAGGCCTCCTTACCCAAACCACAGCCATTTCTCCAGGTCCAGTTTCTCATGTGTTGAAATGCCACAGGCAGTGGGATTTGTGGTTTATCACCATAGTATCTGATGGCCACATCTGTGCAAATAGCCAGCATTTATCTTGCTATTATCTGCTCTTCCTGAGCAAAAAAGCATCTTGGAGACTTAATTTAACTGCTGCTTGACTGTACCATATCCAGTGTATGCATGCAATTCATAGAACCATAGAATAGTTAGGGTTGGAAAGGACATGAAGATCACCTAGTTCCAACCCCCCTGCCATGGGCAGGGACACCTCACACTAAACCATGTCACCCAAGGGTCTGTCCAGCCAGGCCTTGAACACTGCCAGGGATGGAGCATTCACCACTTCCTTGGGCAACCCATTCCAGTGCCTCACCACCCTCATAGTAAAGAATTTCCTCCTTATACCCAATCTAAACTTCCCCTGTTTAAGTTTTAACCCCTTACTCCTTGCCCTATCGCTACAGTCCCTCCCCAGCATCCCTGTAGGCCCCCTTCAGATACTGGAAGGCTGCTATGAGGTATCCACGCAGCCTTCTCTTCTCCAGGCTGAACAGCCCCAACTTCCTCAGCCTATCTTCATACGGGAGGTGCTCCAGTCCCCTGATCATTCTCGTGGCCCTCCTCTGGACTTGTTTCAACAGTTCCATGTCCTTTTTATGTTGAGGACACCAGAACTGCACACAGTACTCCAGGTGAGGTCTCATGAGAGCAGAATAAAGGGGCAGGATCACCTCCTTCGACCTGCTGGTCACGCTCCTTTTGATGCAGCCCAGGATACAGTTGGCTTTCTGGGCTGCAGGCGCACACTGAAGCCGGCTCATGTTCATTTTCTCATCAACCAGCACCCCCAAGTCCTTCTCCGCAGGGCTGCTCTGAATCTCTTCTCTGCCCAGCCTGTAGCTGTGCCTGGGATTGCTCTGACCCAGGTGTAGGACCTTGCACTTGGCATGGTTAAACTTCATGAGGTTGGCATCAGCCCACCTCACAAGCGTGTCAAGGTCCCTCTGGATGGCATTCCTTCCCTCCAGCGTATCAACCGAACCACACAGCTTGGTGTCATCGGCAAACTTGCTGAGGCGCACTCAATCCCACTGCCCATGTCAGCAACGAAGATGTTGAACAAGACCAGTCCGAACACCGATCCCTGAGGGACACCACTTGTTACTGGTCTCCAGCTGGACATTGAGCCATTGACCACAACTCTTTGCGTGTGGCCATCCAGCCAGTTCTTTATCCACCGAGTGGTCCATCCATCAAATTGATGTCTCTCCAATTTAGAGACAAGGATGTCGTGTGGGATAGCGTTGAACGGTTTACACAAGTCCAGGTAGATGACAGCAACTGCTCTACCCTTGTCTATCAGTTCTGTAGCCCCATCATAGAAGGCCACCAAATTGGTCAGGCAGGATTTGCCCTTAGGGAAGCCATGCTGGCTGTCACTAAGCACCTTGTTGTTTTTCATGTGCCTTAGCATGCCTTCCAGGAGAATCTGCTCCAAGATTTTGCCAGGCACAGAGGTGAGACTGACTGGTCTGTAATTGCCCGGGTCATCCATTTTCCCCTTCTTGAAAATGGGGGTTATATTTCCCTTTTTCCAGTCATCTGGAACTTCACCTGACTGCCATGATTTTTCAAATATGATGGCCAGCGGCTTAGCAACTTCATTCACCAGCTCCTTCAGGACCCGCGGATGGGTTTCATCAGGTCCCATGGACTTGTGTGTGTTCAGCTTCTTAAGATGGTCTTGAACTAGATCCTCTCCTACAGTGGGCCTAAGGTCTTCATTCTCTTCCCCACTGAGAGATGGAGTTGTATGGCCTGTGGCTCGGGAGGATGGTACATGTGTATTGAACTGGTAGTTTTAGTGGGCTGCCTTTCAAGCAAGGGGTACATTGACATCAAACCTCTGCTCCTTTATTTAAGGTGACTCCTGAATATTTAGAGGGTTGTTTTTTTTTAGCAGGAAATCAAAATGTTATCTTTGCCCTTACAGCTTTTGCCATAATCCACATATAAATGAGGTGATAAAAAGTAAGGATTAAATAAATCTTTGCTAATACTTTTTGATTGGCTTAATCAATAATTAATCATCTCTTAGATGAAGCTGTAGCTTGTGGAGTAGATATAATTGGATTAGCTGCTGAGAGGCCTTTGGAGCTTTGAAGAGATTAAAATGGCTGTCAATCCTGTAATTAAACTGCCACAAACAAAAGCAATAGTATTAGAATCAGTCAGCTTTTTTTTTTTAATGAATCAACAAGTACTTACCCTTAATAGTGGTGTAGACAGAGTCTGTTCTCGTAACTGATTTATTTCCTTCAACAGGGTGAATATTTATCAAATCATTGGTTTAATTGCCTGGGCACATACGGGCCAGAACGGCAGGTGAGATTTTAGGAAGCAGTGGCTGTCAGAAGAAAAGCTAGTTTGTGTATCTAAAACAGGGAATCTGCTCCGTGTCTTGAGCCTATTAGGCACTGACTTTTCATGGTGTCTTTAATTGGCTAAGTAGGTTTGGCCTACATGAATGAAGTCTTTATCTATCCTGCTCTTCCCCTCCCACCTATTCTGGAAGGTTTTTTGTTCCTCTTTCTTCAAAACAGAGGGCTTTAGCAGAAATAACTTCCTTTTAAAGGCTCATTATGCTCTAAAGCATATACTGTATGTGACTGTATTATACACGTGTGAATTGATATGTGTGCATATGCTAATATATATTCTTCTTTTAAATCTCTTACAGAGATGAGCTTATAAAACCAATGGGAGTGCGGCCGGATGGTACAATGGCTCCTTTGGAAGAAGCAGTCAGCCAGTACCATACCAACAAGCAAGACAGTTCAGATTCAGACTAAAGCATCACCTGCTTCGCTCTCAATTCTTCTGTAATCCACACATTTCCTTAGAGCCACAACATCTTTTATCTAGGCATTTTATCCTCACATTAGCCAGCATTACTTTAACTCTTTTATTATTGGGATATTAAAATATGGTATAATGTCTGAATTTTTATTATGTATGTTTAAAGAACATACCAGTGTATTAGTTTATGGACTTTATTAATTTAAAACTAAACATACTTCAAAGGGATAAAAAGTGAAAGCCTACAATGTAAAATAAAATACAAACACTTCAGTTTTCCAGAATCCTGTTTTCTGAACTCTGTAGGTTTTCCCATTCTTGATATTTTTTTTGTATTGTCTTGCCAGTCTTCCCCTTTATATAATTGTAATAAAAGAAGCGTGTTTGTTGAATGGCATTAGGAGCAGAGGGTGTTTAAACTTGGAAGTCTGACCCTGTGAAGCTGCTTTGACTGATTTTTTTAAATGCCACTGGATTTCTTACTGCTACACACTTCTGTGGTTAAGCTGCTGCTTAGGATTTTACCAATGTGTCAGTCACTGACTGCTGCTAAAATTACCTTTAAATTGGGAACAAGATGATGTATGGAGTTTGTTCTACCTCCTCTGCCCTGTTAAGACCACACGAATATACCCCGCCCCCCGTCTTCAGTTAAAAACATCCCTATTCAAAGGAGCATTCAAGTATGTAAACTTAAATGTTGCCATGAATGGGAGTGGACTAAAGTGAAGTGCATGTGTGAGTGTTTTACTGAACTGGAGCCTACTTTTGGAGATTAACAAGAATGCCTCACTTGAAGGGAAGTCAAACTAATCAACAAAGAAATATTTCCTTTTAGGGAGAATTTAGGAAGTGATGGGATGGAGAATGGGAAGGTAGGAAGGAGAAGAAAGTGTCTTCTTCTTTCGACTGTACTCTTAAAACAAAGATTAAAGTTTTAGACGTGCTGCACCACTGTTGTTTCCTTTTTGTCTGCTTGGTTTCTTCCTCTGTGTATTAATGAATGAAGTGTTCTTACAGCATGAATTACATGAAGAATAATCCATGTCTAGTTTGTAATTCTTGGCTTTCTGGGTTTGGGTGTTTTTTATTAGAAGCAGACACATGCTGTTCCTTCTGAACCTTTCAGAGGTTGGTGGTTTGTCTTTGCTTCCTATGACTTGACACTGGTTCGCTGAACTAAAGGAGTTGGTGTTTAAAGACCTTGTGAAGGGAGGATGTGGTGTGAAATCATGCTGTTCTTTCCCCTGTGAGGAGCTTCTTCCACAGATCTTCTTAGTCTCCTGAAAAGACTTAAAAAGAAATAATATAGAACTGTCCTCTAAAAGTCAGGTTTGTTTTCACAAAGGATGCTGTCCAGCTATAGTAATGACGGGGGTTTTGGGGTGGGGGAGGTGGACAAAAAACCCAAAGAAAACCCAGGGAAACTTAGGAACATTGATTGTAAACATTTCTGTCTGCTGGGTCTCAGAAATGTAATGCTGGGTTTAGCATCATCCATTGAGGACTTGGAGCCCAGTCGAGGCAAGCATTAAGTGCACTGCAGGAGCGAAGACTTTATGAACCCTTCCTGAGGAGCAAAACTTCACAAGCTCTGTCAGTGAGATACTGAGTTTTGTCTTGGCATCAGCTGAGGCTATTTCTTGGGGCTGGAAAAGCAGTTCTATATGGGTTGGTATAAAGAGATGTATACAGAGCATGAAGAAGAGCAAAATCTCTATTTGTTGCTTCACAAGTTGTAGAATATGCTGCTACAGTTAGCTGGTTAAAGAGATGAATAGAACAATCATGGCTCCAGGGATTTCATTACAGATGGTATAGCATGAGGCTTTTGTGGTCTGGCTCCTGGCAATTGCAACTAGGCAACAATAGTTGCAATAAACAGTTCTTCTGTTTAGTTTATCTTGGAAATTAATGCTCGTAGTAGGTTTTACAGACACGGGATGCTGCTTCAATTAGAAAGACCAAGCATAGGAGTTTCTACCTGAGTACCCGAGCTCAAGAGTGATTTTTCGTAATCGGGTTGCCTGTAGTGCAGGTTGATCTATTAATTTAATAACTTCCACTAGTGCAGCATCCCTAAGCATCCCTTGCTCCAAAATGAGTTTGTGGAAGGGGTGCTGCAAGATTTTTGCTTTGTCTTTGAAACATAACATAGGTCCATCCTTAGCTGGAGATCTGAGAAAATCCTGGGACGCAGTTCCTCCAGCACACAGAGCATCTGCTTCCTTGTGTGGTGTTTGCTCTTCAAAGTAACCGTGTGTGTGTTAAGATGGATGGGAGTCTGGAGAAGAGTGAAATGGGTATTTGGTGGTTTAACAAAAAAAAAAAAAGTAAGGTCTTCCTTAAATTCTTCGCTGAGAAATTATGATTTGCTCCTGTGTTTATTTTCAAAGATGAACCTCCAGAAGTGGAGGCAACTGAACCCTATTTAAACCAGCAAATGGGACAGTGAGCCCAGTCAGATTTGGGAATGCTTTCTTTCCTCCCCAGCTGAAGGTTCCACATCTGCATTTGACCATAAGAATGGGACCATAAGAATCTGCACAACTTGCAACATTTGGATGCTGGGCAGTCTCAAGCCCGGAAAGTGATGAAAGGTTTGCTGTCTCTGTTCTGTATGGTCTCATCTGTATTATGTGAAATACTCACATTTGATGATATAAATTTTTGTTTCCATTTTTCCTTCAAAACACTCAGGACATAGAAAATGCTGTAATCAGAAAAAGGAAATCTTCTGAGCAAAATGCCAAGAGGTTTACTGGTGGGTTCCTGAGATGTGTACCTTTCATTCCCTAAAAGCCTTTCACAGTCTGTCCCACATATATCAACTTGTGTTTCAGTCTTTGTTTTGGCATCAACAGTCCAAATAAGAACCACAGTTCTTATTATAGCTCATCAATGATTTGGAAGTTCTGCTTTTTTTTGTTTCCCATTAGAGTTAGGAAACAACAGATGATGGGGAATTGCTGAAATTTGCCAGGATACTTTGTTCTTTTGCAAGATGATGCAGATGCATTTGTTTAAATGCTCATGAGAATGTCCTGGCAGGTATTCCCAAATGCTAATTGAAACTTCATGTGCCCCAGAAGTGATTTTCAGGAAAAAGGGACATTTACAATGTTAAAAATGTTGTCACAAGAAAATTAGCAGAACTTTAATCTGCCAAAGAGAAAAACGACATTAGCTTCAATATTCTGAATAAACAACATTGCTGTATGTGAGCATGGCCAAGAGCTTTCACCTAGTTTTTCCAAGTACGTGGAAGTCTGCAATGGCTTCAAACAACCCCAACCAATTAAAAGTAAAAAAACAGAAAGAAACTAGGTTATAATATAGTTCTCTTAGAGCTCTTCAAGCAATAGTTTTCTTCTACCTGAGTGAAAAACTGGTTGTCAAAGGTGGCTTTAAGGAAGGGAATATTACAATGAAGCTGTTATATTAGTTGGTTGCCAAGCACCCTAGGTCTGAAAGAGGAAAGTAAACCCCAAAGTATACAAGATCCCAAATCTCCTGAAGGAGCATTCCACAACATTGTACTTCACCTTATTACCACAAACCAGCTAATAAAATCCTGTGCTTTATTAAGGCTGGCTGTAAAAAGACTGTTCCACTGTTCAAACAGTTGAGAGCCAGACTTCTCTGGTCTTTGATGAGCAGCAAGTTAAACAGCTGCCCAGGTCACATTCTTTTCTACTCAAGCATGCAAAAGTGATGATTTAGTGGCAGTGCAAAGATGCAGCTCGCTTTCAGATAGCAAAATTAAAAAGTATGATTTAATCCTGCAAATTAAAATCTTTAACATCTTAGTTACTTGGATAGCTCTGGATCTTATGAAAAGTGATAGGCAACATTTCCTGGTTTCTTCATGCAAAAGCTTTTGCTCATCCTGAAGCTGGTTCTCTCCAAAATGCATGTTCTCACTCTGGTGATGCAGTATTTAGACCAGCAACTCTGGGGGGAAGTGATGTCCTTTTAGTTTTGCCATGTGTCCCTCAGCTGGCTATGCCTGGGAATGCGGAAGCGTCTCTCGGTGCTGGCTGAAGAGCAGGCAGAAGAGCCTGGAAAGGTATGCTGTACCTCCTTCCTGACCTCTGCTGCTAGTCAGCTGCCTGGGGGTGACCTAAGGGCAGCAGAGGCCCTGCCTGATGGAGGTGGGACCTAGGCAGCTACCCTGCCTGTCTCCCTAACGCCTGTGGGTAACACGGGCAGGCTCAAGGCTACTGGGTGGCCAGGCAGACAGGAGAGACATGCAGCAGTGTGGCATGGAAAATGGTGGTAATTGCCTGCTTGCACTAAAGCTGAGTGTTTTTCAGGGCCCCTTCTCTCAGCACCACCAACACTGTCTGCAGGTAAGTCTGGTTAATCCTCTGCTTTTACCTGTTACTTGGCTCAGTGGAAGGGTGTTGCCTTTGTTTGCAAGGATCAGTAATGCTTTGGGTTCCTTTTTTGGAGGTATGCCATACTTCCATAATGTGCTTTCCTTCTTGAGAGTGAACGCCTTTTCCTCTGTGTGAGGATGAGGAAGAGGGGGTCCCACAAAAAGGGACCAAACTCATTTGTTTGGAAGTAGAATCAGCTACCTCTCCTGTCTATGCAGCAGGAACCACTTTCAATTCCACCAAATTGAAATTGGCCTGAGGATCAGGCTGTCCCATCTCAGTGTCCTCTGGACAGGCTTGAGAGCAGCAGATGCAGTCTGACAGATAGGGGGAAAGAAAATCCCCCCCAAACTTGCCCATTGCCACAACTTGTCCAACAGCATCATCTGACAGTGCATGGCTCAGGTCAGCAACCTCTCCTGGCTGGATGCTGCAGGGTCCAATAGGATCAAATAAGCTCCTTGAGCATCCCGGCTTTCTCTTACAGCAGCATGAGCACAGATGACTGAACTGCTGACGTGCCTGGGAATCGATCCCTCCGACAGCATGCCAATCTCTGTGGGGTACCCAGGCAGGCTTTTAGAGGTTGGTGGGGAAGGAATTATTCAGACCACCCATCTTTGCTGGCTAAATTACCGGGGTAGTCTCTTCAAACTCCTTCTCCAGTCACGGATGAGAGAGAGGACAATTCAGAGTAAGGCTAATTTGGGTGCACTAAATGACCCTCTGCAGGAGCTTTGCTTTCCTTCCCTCGACTTACAGAGGGAGCCTGGGGAGACCAGCTGGTTACATTTAACTGCTAAATTGGTTGCCAAAAGATGGGTGGTGAGAATTCCTTCCCGTTTCCCCTTTGCCATGGACCACAGTTTTCCCAGAGCAGGATGCTTGCTTCCTCTGTCCTGCAAATTCAGAGGGCTCGATGCAATAGGGTATAGGCCCGCAGGAACCAGGACAAGACAAATCACAACAGTTGATAGGTACTGTGCAATATTGTGTGTACTATTGCATAGACTTCTGCTTAAATGGATCCCTTAAAGCACCTTTGCTTTTGGGAGCCTGTTTAACAACTTGCCTTAGTATAAGCCAAGTTTTACATGTGTTTTGAAATCTAAAAGGCAAAGTGCAACCTCAAGCAAAAACCGTAATTGGGGAGGTACAGATAAGAGGGAGAAAAGACTTTAGAGTTCTCCCCAGATGTTACAAATGGAGAGGGTGGTGAAGCCACCCAAAATAAACCCTGCTGAGATTGCCCCTTCCTCTGGGTCTGATAAACCCATTACAAATTAAAACAAAAGCAGGATTTGGGGCATCTGTAAGCCCTCTTTTACCTTTTAGAGCTCACAATGGATTCTGACTGTGGATGTTAGTCCTCATCTAATCAAAAAGATCAATTCTTCCTTCTGGAAGCTTGAGATACAGGATTCTGCCATGTATAAAAGTCAGCAAGTGAAAGAATCCAGACCTGAATCCACCAGGATTGTGAGGCTTCAGGGTTATTTTGTGTGCAAGAAGGGATCTTGCCTGGTAAATCACAGTGCTGCAGCACATTACACTTCCAAAGGCATTTGAAAAAACAGTAGTATACTTTTCTCCCCCCTTTTTGAGAAGCGAGTCGTGCCTGCCTGGATCCCCTCCTGTTTGCTCAGTCCCTGAATGTTCATAACACCCTGTTGGGGAGGAATAATTCCTGGCCAAGTTGTAAAACACACTTACAAGTAGATGGGAAAAGCATGAACAGAGCTGCACGGAAAACAAAACTGCCAGGAACAAGATCTTGTTTTGCTGTTGTATTTTTGCCCCAATTAGCATATTTTAAAGCCAAGACTCTAACAAAAAAACAACCCCCCAAAAATCCTGCTATCTGCCTGAACCGTTCTCAAGCTTTGAACTTTTCCATCCTTTCTATTGATTATGGCCAAGTGACCCATATTTAAAAAGCATTTACACTAAAATTATAGCACTTTCTTTTGTGCTGCCGCCTCGCCCGGTGAAAAGCGAAGATGTTTTAAAATTGTCACTTTTTGACAGAGGTAATGGCTGTAATATATTTAGTCTCTTCCCCCTTGTTGTGCCTAAAATGGCTATGCTAATAAAGGGCACAGCTGTCGATACTTTATGGCCTGCTGGGGGGAAGAGGGGGAACGAAGGCGAAAACCAGATTGACTGTGTGTCAACAAATGCAGCTGGGAAAGGAAAAAAGAAGCCCCTTGAAGGCCCCTGCAACTTAAAGTCCAAGATAAATGATGTCCCTATGCTTTAAAAAAAAAAATAAAATGGAGGTTGGAATTCAATAAAGGGAAACTGAAAAGGAAACTGCTTCAAACTGAAAGCCTTTTCTCTGCCTCTAGACAGCTTACAAGAGAAATGAGCAAAACTGACCACAGAAAGGAGGGTGAGCGGCCAAGAAAGAAAACAAAAGCCCATCCTGGAAAATATATTGCGTCAATGCATTATCTGAAGTGCATTATCGCCAGCGGGCGGGGAGCATACAGTTTAATGGAGATCGCACAACTTCAACACGCCGCTGCCTTTTGGGGCGCGGGCTGCTTTGTGCCCGGGGAGGGGAAAGGGGGGCTGTAATTATTCATAACAAATAAATAAGATGGCCGGGGGGGGATGATCCCTGAGGAGCCAGGGCCCCTGCAGCTCCTGCCCTTCACAGTGGTGCCTGGTGTGCCCTGCTTCAAGGGGATTTTCTTACCTCTCTAGGTGGAATAACGTGGTGCTTCTCCCCTTCCTGGGCACAGCAGCTGTAGGAGGAAGCGCCATTTTGTGTCCTGTGAGCTGCAGTGGGTCAGGCCCAGGTGGCCACACAATATGGCACGGACAGCCCTTCATGCCCACCTGTACCACCAACAAAGCCACCAGAGCCTAATGGCTCTGCACAAGCCCTGGAGTGGGTTAAGTGGTGGGAGCCTTGTCCCAGCAGGCTTGGGATGGCAAAGGGAGAAGGGCTGTTGCCATCAGGGAGCCCTGCAGGTAATGGAGGCTCATCCTCACACCCCAAGGATGTAAGTGGTGGTTGTGACCGGGGTGGGTTTGTTACTCCTTAACTAGTGGCCTGTCTTTTTTGTGTATGGTAGGACCTAGCTGTATGCTTCAGACAGAAATGACCCCTCAAATGCCCAGCTGGGAGGTGGAAAAGCCTCAGCCCTGCAGCAGGTCCTGCCCTGCCAGCCACGGGGCACCCGGGCACACCATGGGACCCTTCCTGAAGCACAGTGAGAGGAGTAACGGTGTTGTGAGAGGCATAGGGATGGGGAGTTTGAACTGCTGTAGTGAGGAAATGGCAATACATGGTGCAAATCTGCAAGAATAAGGCGGTTTTTCATTCCTTAGGTCATGGCGCAGCTTGTTCATGTGGCGGCAAACCCATAACTGAATAATGAGTGATGGGAAGCCATTTGTTCATTGTCATTTCTTGGACAACTATGGAAGATGAGGACAGATTTTCCCAGCCTAAGGCAAAATGGATTTGGAAGTACGTCTAGAGTACAGGTAAGGCTGTGTCAGTGCCATCTTAGCTCCTATATCTGAGAACCAGGGTCCAGACATTCCTTCTACCTGTTTTGGGCCTGGAAAGAGTCTTTCTGGGACATAAATGCTTGGCAGCAGGGGAAGCTAGGAGAGACAGTCAGCCTGAGAATAACCTCTGCTTCAGGAGGGTGGAGAGGTGCAGTCTGGGGTGGGAGGTCCTGCTCTTGTCTTCCACCTTCCCACCTCAGTCATTCCACACCACTTTTTCAAGGCCTTTTTTGCCCAGTTGGTAGCTCCCATTCAAAAACATTTGGAAAAGGTAGTCAGATGAAGAAAAAAGAATGTTCTGTTTTCTCATTTTCCCAATTTGTGTGTGTGTTCTTTTTAACCTCTGCAAATTCTCTAAGAATGGGAGGAAGGAAAAATGAGTAACCAAAGACAAGGCAAAATTAGGAAAACAGCAAAAATCCTGAAATGAAATAAAACAGTCATGTCAATTTTCTACTAAAACAGCAAACATTAAAATGGCACAGAAAGTTCTCGTTTCCTTCTGTAATTGTTTGGAAGAGTTTTAGAAGGCCATAATTTTTACTATCCCTGCTAGATTTCACTTGGAAAAGCCCTTGCACCAGTAGAGGTCAATACCTCCCAGGGTTTCTATGTCTGTGGGATAAGTGGTTTGGCTTTGCTTTTCTCTAGAGAAGAGTGGAGTTTGGTGCGGCTGATGTGCAAAAGCTGAAGCTGAAAGGTAGCTGTGCCCAAGGACAGAAGAGGTAAGAGATCCCCTGCCTGCACTGTGGTATCTCTGATGCTGCCCTGTTCTGACTTTGGGAAGCAAACTTCCTTGCCTGTGATGCTGACTCCCTGTGTGAACCCCACTGCCTCTTTGTAGCCCCACTACAACTCTTTGTAATTGATAGATGAAAAAAAAATAAATGGAGATAGGCAAGATAAAAATACCTGAACACGGAGTATGTGATACAACAGAGACGTCCACTGATGTGAGTTTATATGATTTTACAGAGATTCTCCTGAAGCTTGGTTAAAGGTGGAAATGCATGGTCCAAGCTTAAGTAAGAAGTAATGTTAGGAGAAAAAGTAATGCTAATGTTGCTGCAGTGCACACAGCATGACCATAAGTAGCTCAGCAGTATCTAAGCTGTAATTGCTGTTAGAGAACATCGTCCAAAGGAAAATGCCTAACAGGTTCCTGGAAGATCTGTGTCCCTGGGGGACTCAGTGTCTATATCCAATTTGGAAAACAACCTGAAAGTGCTGGAAATAGCACAGAGATGGTGTGTAATAGTCAAAGCCAATGAGTTCCACAGAGGCTCCATAATCCCTGTACAGGGAATGTGAGAAAGTATTGTTAGCCATAAGGAGTTGATCCCCTCCGTATAGTGCTGGTGAGACCATGACTTTGGCCAGCTTCAGTGCCCATAACCACGAATGTGCAGCGGCCTGAAAAGCCCAGTGAGATGATTTACAATCATGCTGCTTAGCACACCCAGGGGAAGGCGAAGAGGAGGCTGTGTGGGAGCCAGAGCAGATGTTTTTTGTAATTTTCTTTTGCAGCCCACCACAATTTTCCAGGGGAGCTGCAATGCTGGGATAGCGGCTGTTGAGCTCATAGACTTGCTTTGCTTAATTATCATTCACAGAGTGTTTAATAGGGGCCCAGAGACCCTAGGAATCACCAAGAGCCAGGGGCTGACAGCCACCAAATATCTCTGCAGGAAGAAGGTATGTAAAACTTTGATTTGTTTAATGGAACTGAAAGAAAGATCTGGAATGGTATTTTACGTGCATAACTGGGCATTCAAGAAACAGACTGTGAGGTCTGGTGGGCTTGCTGTCACCTGAAGCTCTTTGGTTGGTCAACTCACCTTAAAACCTGGATAGCCAGGCTGGCTGCTGCCACTGATGTTTCATGTGCTGTTGGGGGTCTGCAGGCGCTCGAAACATCTGTGCTTTGTAGCAGTTACTTGTAATAGAGGTCTTCATGTCAAAGCCTTTTAGTGTCTCCCATAGTCCTTTTAGACAAAAAATTCCCAGCGAGTAACAGGACAATTTATACCTCTCTCTTTTAATATTAATTTAAACTTCAGGTGCCTCTGCATGTTGCCCTCAGTGCTTGGTTTGTCAGTTTTAATGTTTAATGGGTTTTGCTGTTTTTTGCTTGCATGAGCAGGGGGGCTTTCTCAACAATTTATTTGAAAGTGTTTCATGCTTTTAATAACCTGCTTTCTGATCACATCCTCACTGTTTATAGGTACACGTGTGTTTCCATCCTTTCCCAACGTCCCTTCAAGTAGCTTTCAAACCTGCCAGCCAGTCTAAAATGTATCTGTCAGCACAGTGAACATGTCAGAGGTATGACACTCCCAATTGCTTAATGAAAATCTGTGCTCTGTAAGAAAAGAGAGGTGCAAACCAGGCCCCCTCTGAGGGAAAGGCTGCAGCACATGCTTGCACTTTGCTGGAGGATTTGCCATGTAAATGCCCGAGCACAGCTAGCTCCCAGGTCCTCATCAAATGCACATCTGCAGGAGGCCAGATGTTAACTCTTCCAACACACCACAGCAGTTCTGCCATACTGCCTCCCTGATCCTTTTCTTCTCCCTTCTCCTCTCCCCCAGATAGCTCCTGGCTATACCTTGCCAGCTGATGTTTAGAGGTGAGATTAGGGATGCTTAGGGGACATTTAGGGGATGTGTTAGAGCTTAGACCCGCATCAAAGGTAAGCATCCTTTTGCTTTCTCTATTGAGGTGTGAGATGCTACAGCCAAAGAGCCCCCAGTGGCTATGCCAACCTTGCCCACACTGTGACTGCAGCCATCCTGTGTTTCTGACTGGGAAGGGGGCTCCACAAAGCTGAGCAACACACACACCCACATGTGCGTGCCCGTGTGTATTTTTAGCTCTGCTGCCAACACTACGGAGTGAGTTAGGAAGTGGCTGAGAGAGGTGGATTTGGTCCAGGCTTGTGCCTCTACCACAAACCCAGGCTGTGTTCAGCACTGGGCAGGCTCTTCAGCCCTCAGCATGCCCTTAGGTGGGTACGTAGCAGCTGCTGGAGTAATTTGCAGTGGGAATAATTGCACAGCAAATCTCCAAATTACCTTCTGCTTGCAGACCCCTGTACTACTCCAGATGAATCTGAGCACATTTGCAGGAGAGCACATTGTAGTACAGGATCCTGGCACTATGAAAGGATTTTATCCACACATTTGAGAGTGTCAGAAAGCCAGATGGATCCTGACAGGAGGGACAGCGGTGCAAAGCCTTTGCTGGGTTTCTGATGCTCAGAAATCTTCCTAGCAACTCCTGTGTGATGAATGCTTTGTGGGGAAACTCTATAAAAATACCAGAAGTATAAGTTATGCAAGAAGATGTTTGGGATGACAAAGGAGACCTTGCAAATAGGGCTGTGAGGCATTTGCATGTAAAAAAATACCCCCAAATTTTGAAAATTTGCAGCTTCTTTCAGCTGCAACCTAAACTTTGTGATGAGTTAAATCTCCCCAGCCCTGGGCTGATCCCTGTAGCCCCTCCAGGGTTTTCAATGCATCCAACAATGAAAGTGAAATCCAATCCCATCCAATTAGAGGAAAATGAATGGCTCATCTACAATAAATGGGCTCTGAATAACAATAAGCCAACAAGAGAGCAATGAACTGGAGACAGAGTACAATCTTCCTGAATGTTAATCGGCAACTAACTCCACAAGCTTCTTAGAGGTGGAAAGAATTGGAGGAAAATAGATTAGGGAAGCTTTAGAGCACATTGCCTTTTAACTGCTTAGGCCTCACATTTTTACCTAAATACAAGAATGTTTCTAACGCTGCCTTTTGCAGGGCAACGGGGGGCAGGGTATGTGTGTGATGGGGGTGTTTCTTCTCAAAGTTAAATGTTTTCAGTTTATCTGTAAGTTGACATGGTATGTCCTACTGTATGCTCTCTACTATGGATTTATTTATTCAAAAGTCCCTTTTGAAAATGACAAAGTAAAAGGCTATGAGCTTTGGAAAATGTTTTCTGTATATCTGAGGATTTGGGGGATGAGGCTGAATGAATCCAGAAGTCAGCCTGAGACTGAAGAGAAGCTAGAGAAGATAGGATAAGAGAAAGGATAAGGAAAACTGCATTTCAGCAGCTGAAGCAGCACTGTCTGTGCCCAGCAGGTTCCCATGATGCTGCCCAGTCCTTGGTCTCGCAGACACCTTTCCATGCTCTCAAGGCTGATACTATCCAAAATACCCATAGAGCAGCACAGCTGCTTCTTTCCACTGCTCTCAGCCTCATGGGTAATTTCTGTAAAGCCAGGGAAGATTCCTGACCCATCACTAACAGAAGCCCCAATAGCCATGCAGACTCCATATTCAAGGCAACCGGGTCTCACTGAAGTCAGCTGTGTTTCCCATTCTCTCTATTCACCCTATTAATTTCCTAATTATGTTTTTTCCCCTCCAGACAGGCAGAGAGTTTATTCAGCTGTAACCAGCACTGCCATCCCCTCCTGCCTACCTTCACCCACAGGAGCCCAGCTCAAAGGCCATGGAGTCCCACTGGCCACTGTGGGCGTCTGATCAGCCTGCATTAGATAAGAGCACATTAACGTCACTGCAGCCTGGCCACCTGCTCTGGCCATGGTGGTGGAGAGTGAAGAAATATGTCAGTCCTCTGGGAAGAGAAGTGCTCCTGCACTGGTGATATACAGTCATGGTTCCATGGCAAAAGAGAGCGTGGGGCGAGTTCCAGCAGCCTCACAGTGCTCTTTGCTGTGGAGAGCTTGCACCTTCCTGGTTATCAATGAAAATATTGGTTTTGACAATTCTAGTATCTATAACAACATATATAATGTACGTATATACATATACACACACAGAGGTTACCCCTGCTCACTCCTGAAGGAATCTGTCAGGAATTTCTTGCAGAAATCATGAAAGTAAAAGACATTCAGAAAGTAATGGTGTGAGAGGAAGGTGCCATCATTGTCTTTGAAAAAGCCCTGGAAATGTGACACATGGCAACACATGCTGTGATGCCCTGATTTGCAAGGAGGCTGAGATGATGTGTTCCCATACACACCAAGAGGGTCTAATGCCTGTGAGGGTGCTCTTCGTGCACACTTTGGAGCCTGCCTATGCACATTCTTCATGATGGATCCCTGAGGAGAGGGCGATTAGGGTGCTATTAAGCACCTGGGAGGGCTGCAGGAGCAGCACATGTGGCTTTGCTTTTCTCTGTTGGAGCTGAGCACTCAGCTTTCACATTCAGCTTCTGCTGCCAGGGCTGCTCTTTACCTACAGAAGGGAGGACATGTCTCCAGGCAAACCTGAAGCTCTGAATGAGGGCAGTGGGATGCAATATGGTAGAAGTAGGTACGGTCCTAATAGTGGTGGTCCTGAGCAAAGTATCTTCTACAGCCCACCTATGTAGCTCCTCAGGTATGCAACAGCTGCGGTGCAGGGGCCTTTAGAGAGTTAGGTGATTCCCACAACATGAATCCCAAATACATAGAACAAGCAAAAAGAAAGGAATGGGGTAACTTCAAAGTCAAATGATAAAAATATAATTTATTCTGACAGAAGGGTTATTGATGCAAATGTGTTTCCTGTGTCGCATTCCTTATCATAAAGGTCTTCCAAATTTGGTACCTTGTGGCCATAAAAGCTGGCAAACAGGTCCATAGGAAACCAAAGTACTTTCTTTCTCTGCATGGCAAGATGGCAATGAAGAGCGGAGCCATATCTACCTTTCCTTCTCCTAATATGCTGTGCAAGCAAAGGGTTTATTGTATTATTTCAGAGAAGAAAGAATTTGATAAGTGTATAGATAAGTAGTAAGTAATATACATGCAGAGCTAAAGGGGGTTTGGAAGGGAGAATTACTCATTTGTTAAATAACAATTTGGTCTTGGCAGCATTAAAATAAATTTCCAAAGACCATTGTTTGTTTGAACAAAGAGGGGAAAGGAGCTGTTAGAAGCAGTTTACACAGTTCAAATATGAGGGGTTGTGTGCGTTAAAAGACCGGCGTTGGTGCTCAGCATGTAGCACAGAAAACACATTTGCTGTAATGTGCTGGACACGCTTTGGCCAGCACTTAAGAATGGCATCACACCCTGCCAAAATTTCACATTGAGAGCAAGAAGTGCCAAGGGGAATTTCAAATTCCACAAATACATTTTTTCTTAGACTGTTGGACCAGGACAAGGCAGTAATAGTGGCCAGTAGAAACCCTCGGGTTTGACCATCTGGGGCAAAATACTGTTCAGTACCTTTCCAGCAGCCTCAAGGCACCATCATCCTCCCCCTTATCTTCCCTCATTCCCTTAGACTAAAGGGAGGCATTTGCTGGAGCCTCGCACCTTGTTTGGTTTCTTCACTTTGGTCATCACTAACTGCAACAGCGATTCTTTAGTTAGTTGGGGATTTTCAACACAACAGATTTGCCCTGCAAGTCCTGAGGAGAGTTAGGAGTGCCTTGCTCCCCAGATAAGGTGCAGTATCACATTTAGCTCAGGCCCAAGCATCTTAAAAGTATTAAAAATCTTAGCACTTGAGCCTTATTATGCGAGAACTGCATGGTTTGGTGCTCTTTGTATTACAAAACAGGCATGGCACCAACCAGATAAATTGTTAATTTATAAAATCAAGTTCTGGTAACTTGATTTACCCGAAGCAGCACCACCTGTTCCTCACGGTTATGCTGTTGGAGACCATGGTATTGCTTACCTTACCTTAGCAACCTGGTAAGCTAAGGCTTACGAGTTGCTACTTATTGTGGAGGTTCACAGTGAAGGTACTATGTAGGTTAAGGTGAACAACTTTGATGAAAAAAACAACCTTCTGTGAGAGTTTCAGCATTGGTATTTTCCTTTAGAAAAGCAACATCCTGAGAAAACAAATTCCCTTTTCATGGGTGCTCATCATGTTTTCATTTTTTGGCAGAAAGGGGAACCCTGTGACCATAACACCTCCAAAGACCCATAGTCCAAGGGCTGATGTCCGATTTCCTTTTGGTGATGGACTACCTTTCCCATGAGGACCCACACCAGGAGGCTCCCGCCCTGCTTTACACAGTGTGCAGCAGTAGATGCCCAACAGATGGATGACCTTCTCCCAGCCAGGAGGGCTTCCTCACCAGGAACCTCAACAACAGTGCTCACACACCAGCCCTAAGATAAGGTGGCTGCGGTTTGGAGACTTTGGGATGCTCCATCCCTCTCCCTCATCCCAGCTCCCAATCTCCCTTGTGCCTTCTGAGTGACAGCCTGGCCTGCAGCAAGCTGGCTGAGATGTTGGCAGAAAAGCATTTCAAGAACTTGCTTAAAGCAAAAAGCTAAAGCTTGCCAGGCTACAGGGAGGGCTCACTGCTGAAATCTTTGCTCACAGCAAAAATCTCAGTGCCTTGGACTGATCTCCCTGCTCCAGCACTGATGGTGGGCTCTCCCAGATCCAAAGCATTTTGGCCTGGGGATCTTGCTTCTCCCTTCAGGTTACTTACCAATCTGAGGATACTCTTTTTCATGTGTGACCAAACCTTGGCTGCTCCCACCACATCCACACAAAATGCTTGAAAATGTTTGCTTTTTCCACCCTGACGTTTGTGGCTGTTCCCACAAGAGAAGGGACAATCCAGGGACTGAAGGAGTTGGGTCCTGCAGGCTCCCAGCAGAGTGCTGAAGACCAGACACCTTTCCCTCAAGAAGTTTCACAGACATTGCATGATTTCTGGGTTGATAATTAGGAAATAATGGAATTAAACTCAAACAGAAGTTCAGGTTAGATATAAGGAAGAAGTTCTTTACTCTGAGGGTGGTGAGGTACCGGAAGACGTTGCCCAAAGAAGTAGTAAATGCTCCATTCCTGGCACTGTTCAAGGCCAGGTTGGACGGGGCTTTGGCGATATGGTCTAGCGTGAAGTGTCCTTGCACTTGGCAGCAGGGTTGGAAGTGGATGATCTTAAGGTCCTTTCCAACCCAAACCAGTCTGTGAGTCTATGATACTATGACTAACTCATGCTACGCTAATCTATTTTTGCTCTGCTCTCCATGCATTATTGTCAAGTTGGGGAAATCAAGTCAGGGGAAAGAGCATTCTGAATAAGGTAAAAATTGTGCCCAGGTAGTTCCTGGAGGGGAAGGTTGCTCAGAGGACTTTTCTAACTATTGACATTAATATCTTTACTGACTCCAGGAGTATCAGTTGTCTGAAAGGGAATGCTTACTGAGCAGTGTTTTGTTTATTAAGTAATGCTTTGAAAGACAGAAGCTGGTTTAGAATGTCTGACTGGACTAAGACTAGTTCTGGCAGTGCTGAATGATATTGTACACATGTGGACTCAAGTGGCCTCAGGAGGATGGGCAATGCTGCTTTACCATGGGACCAGTTGTACTTGTCACAGTACCTATGTCCAGGAGAGAGTGGGATTTAATACAGCTTTCTCACTTCAGTTATCCCACTGAAAAACATAGGCAGATCCCCATTTTTTTGACCCCAGAGGCTTTACAAAGGGAGTCAAGGCTCAGGCCAGAGCTGCAGGTGGCACTCTGGATTGAGGTGTCCAATAGTCATTGCAGTATCCAGCTCCTTTTTGATCTTTGGGCACTCACGGTCTCCCACATTTGTCTTATACACCCATGCTATTTAGATTCAGATTTATTCCTGATACTGCTTTTCAAAACCTCTTGATAAACCTTCCTGCAATCAGGTTGCTTTCATCTGAGTGATTGACTCTATGGTCAGTACCAGATAGTGTGTCCTCTTGGATCTCGTAGAGGAGCTCAGCTTTCTTGCCCCACATTACATCCAGTGTGTCCATCCCCACCCCAAAACTCAGGAACTACCATAATGCTCCAGCATTCCTCCAGCACCACCATCAGCAGGAAGTCCAAACTCAGATTCACCTTTTGTGACCACAGCCCTCTGCCACATCTTTATTAGCTGTAGCGCTGCAGGAAGGACCATCTCAGGTCTGTCTTCATGTGCACCTTCGCCCTACTCAACTTGCCTAAAAAAAGAGAGATTTTAGAATATCTTTGCTTGGGCACAGCCAAGATTTAGTCTGCAGGCTCCTTGCTGAGGGGCTGCAGGCCTGCCATGTCCTTAGAGGCTGTCAGAGCGTAGCGCTGTTCATTTGAATGTGAATAAAGTACTGAACTTTATTTTGAGCCCTAAAATTCAAACCAGAGTAAGATGAGCAGAGGCCCAGAGGATGTGAATTGAAAACAAGAGCCACTGAGCTCTTTTTTAGAGCTGTCCACATTTACCATCTCTCTGGTTTTATCATCTGGAGATCAAACCCTAAAAAAAAGAAACCTCTGTATTGAAACATCTCCCTAAACATGGATGTCACTGAAAGATTTTCACTGACATTTTTCTGTGAGAGGGAAAAAGTGACTCCTTAACCAATGTTCCCCTGTTTCTTTCTTCATCAGAATGCAATTTTGGTTAACACAGATAGGCTACCCAAACTGTCTTAGGTTAACTATATATATAAAGTTAATTAAAACACTCAGGCTTAATCCCAAATCAGATGCTGGCAATTTGGGCAGTTATGTTGCTTTGGGAACATGGTCAAAACTGAAAGTTACCTTAAAGTTTACCATAGGAAAACAGCTGCCACGTTTAGTGGCTCTAGTGAAAAGTCCACAATAATATGATACATACAGAGAAAACCAGCTAGCCTGTCCCTGGAGTTATACAGGGTTCCAAATTGGCAAGACTCATCAGGTAATCCTTTTTCAGCAGAGGCTTGCAGAGAAACCATCAAGCCAATGCAAGAATAGTAAAAACATTAATTATAGGCTTTCTCTCCCTACAGAACACGTGGGTTTTAATGCCTCTTGCAGGGATTTATCATCCATGAGAATGTGGTTATTTTTTACTGCTCCTTTTTGCTCTTTTACTCATGCAATACTGGAGTTTTTCAAACATGATGCTCCACTCTCAAAGACTAAATCCTGAGCTGGTAGTAAACAGGATAACACAGCTAATTGGCACTGAAGCTATACTGATTTGCATCAGCTGCAGCTCAGCCCTGTTACATTACCTAGGCACAGAGTGGAGCTGCTTTAATTCTTTATTCTTGTGTGATTTCGGTTTCAAAAATAAAACTGTGTTGCAAAGTGCATGTTTACAGATGAGTCAAACCCCATTATGCTGAAACTATTTAATTGTAAGCAGGTTAGATCAGCTTTCTTGTGATAAGAGCTCCCGATATTGGTGTCTCTTTCTTGTGCAGGCTTAAAACTTTACTTGCAAAATCTCCTTGTATCCCTTTGAGCCCCCTTGGGAGATTAGGGAAAAAAAAAAAACCCACTCCAGTTAACACTCCCTCATTTCATTTTTAAAGGTCATGCTTAGAGCTGGCAGTTGTTATAGGAGCTGTCCTCTGTAAAGAAAAGTCTTAACTAGCCAGGCACAGACTTAACCTCACCATCGAAAAACTAACATTGTCACTAGGATATGGAGAAACCATGGTGAAGAACTAGCAACAGCTAGGCCACGGCAGAATGAGCAGTCGGCATCTGCTCGGTGGGCCTTTATCATGCAGTGTTGTATGTACGATTCAAAATGCACAGAACGATTGTTGAAATGATGTAGACAAATTGACTCAAATTAGTTTAGCATGGGCCATGCAAAGTTTAAGCTTGTTGAGCCCAGACACATAGCAACAGCCACTGCTTTGGAAGCCGTGTGTTCGAAGCGCTAGCAGAGCAGTGGTATTCCGGTCCAGGCTTTGCTTTTGTGCCTGCTTGCCTCTTCTCTTTTAGTTTTGCCTGGCTCTAGACAGTCTTGGCAGAAGCAATCCCTGCTGAAGACTACACTAGCACTGATAATTTTATAGAAGTACTTGTGAGCTTTAATGTCATTTTATACTTCCTTAATCTTTTGACTGTTACTTAATGACAAACAAATCCCCAAAGAACTGAGTGGGGGGAAGATTAAAAGGATTTTGAGACTGTGTTCTCTGCTTTCAGTCAAACTGTCCCAAATCCTGCCAACACAATTCTCCAGTGCCCTATGACACCCCTCCCCAGACCACCAGGAGTGAGTTTCTTATTGTATTTACAGTAATCTAATTACAACAGTTCTTCAATTCACAGCCAGCTTTGGTATACAGACTTTAGCAAGAACCCTCCTCTCAGTGCAGATTGCAAACTTTAATCTTTTAAACTAACACACTCACAGCACACCCCCCCTCAAACGTTCTGAAATGCCTGTGTGAGCTGCTAAGACGTGTTCCCCCTCCCACGCCTGCCAACGCTTCTCTCATCTTTCTGTTAGGTTTTCTTTTGTGACAATTTACTGCCTGAAGGTAATGCGAGAGCTCCTAAGAGATCATATTCTGTGAGGGTATAAAATGATTCTAAAAACAGGTTGCCTGCCAGAACATTACTTTTAAAAAAAGATAGTTCTCTAAATACGTGTACTTCCCTTAAATTCTTTTTAATGTCTCTCTGTATTTCTGTATTTGAAGAAACAGCTGCGGAGAGCAATTAAAGACTGACCATTTTACTCAAAAATGAAATACAGTCTCAGCTTAAAAGTTGTCATTGCCCAAAATCATTTGATGCAAATCTTGAAGTTGGTTAACTTTATTTAGAAAGAAGCAGATGACAAAAGTAGATGGAGTTTGTACATAATAAAAATGTCAAGAAAATGAAGACAGAAAAGATTGTTTTATATGAAGCAAAATAGGAAATAAAAGGAAAACCCGCAATGAATTAGCAAATGTGGACTTTTTTAGTGTGTCATTGCAGCCATCTAGCTATATACACAAGTATTGCACTATTCAGTTTCTTTCCCATCACAGGTCTTCCACCTAAAGCTTTTACAGTAATACCAGCTTCACTCATACACATCTTTTGGAAGTTTGAGGGTGCTTTTCTCTTCTTCCAGTCTGGCATTTGACTCTGAGCTGTGCTGATCTCAAACTCACTAAAGTTAATAAAATCTTCACTTTGAAAGATATGAGGAATAATCTAGGTCAAATATTACTGTAAAACATAGGTCTCCCCCATTACCATGTCCTTTAGGCAAAAAATATATGTACACTCATATTTCTTTTCCAAGTGTTTCACATCACCAGTTTGGCTTTTGGTATCTATTTGGTTGGTTTCTGTGAGGCTCATCAATCGTTTTGCTTTCTAGTATGTACCAGCATCCCTTCTCATGTCAGAGTTGCTTTAATGCTTAATTCCTCCTGTTTGAGATGCATTGCTATGCAAGTTGAAATGAGCTGTTCAGTCAAACCTCAGCTATTTCCCACTGTTTTCTGTGGACCTTGAAAGACTGGGAACATGGTAGTAGTGCCTTATCTCACATTTACTCTTGAAAAACTACTTCTAATGCACCTTTGTGCTGTTTCCCTCTGAGCAAACTGGCCATGGTAATACTCAATAAATGAACAATTATTCCGTTTGTAAAATTTAGGTTTCTAGATAATGTGTTTTGTATGTAGTAATTTCTGCCTGAAAGAGCTAATTTAAATTTTAATCTCTAGGATATCTAATCCTCACAGTCCAGTAATTTATCAGGTTGGAAATGCACTTGCCCCTGTAAAATCAAAGCTCTTTACCGCTTTGCCAGTTTGGGAGATAACTTTAGTGTGAGGTACTCTAGCTCCCCTAATAAAGGGAAAACACTGCGTTGCTGCAAAAGGAGGCGTGGACCAGGGAAGCCCGAGGTGTACGAATGCCATCTGCTGGCTTAATCACAAATCATGACCCTCCAGCAACCGCTGGGGCCGTCTTGGGAGATGGATGTGTGTTGGAGGCCCAGTTCTCATTTCGTGTACGGGCATGAGCCAGTCACATTATTCCATAACGAAACTCATGTCAATAGAAGAAGAATCAAGTTCAGATTCTGTACTCCCGGCCTAATGTCTATGTCTGTGCTTGAGCATTGTGCTTATGTCATCAGGGTTTTGCTAGATTAGGAATAAAAGGAAACTGTCCTTGCAGTTTTGCTGAATATCGTGTTGAGATGTACTAATCCTCATAGTATCTAACGGGTACATTTATACCCATTAGATTATTTTATTGTTTTAAGTGCAGTGCTGCATGGGAAGGGTTCTGCACAGCAAAGGCAGCCTTAGCGCAGGTGATTTAACCTCTCTGGGTTTGTGAACAGCTTTCCTTTTCAGGGCAACAACTTGGCTTGCCTCAGAAGGGAGCCAGGAGAGAACAAGCTGCCTAGGAAGGCCTGAGGGTGAAACAGAGAAACCCAAACGGGCACAGAGGAACCCACAGATCTCTAAATTCACAGGACTTGAAAAATACCAGTCATTGGATGGGTTTAATTTGCCTTTACTTGCTTTCTGGCTCCTGAACTGTTAAGATTTACAGGCAACTCATTCTCTCTCTGCAGCATTGCTCCAGACACTGTAAGATGTCAGCACAGATGGAATAGCACTGACCAGGGCATGTGCTTTTATCTGTATAGAAATGGCAGTGATTTAGGTCCTTTTGCTTAGAAATATTATGGTGTTTTTAGAAAACATGCTTTCAGTTTATAATAAGAACTATCATATTGACATTTTATGAGTAGTCAGACCATTTTCTTTCTATATGTTTAATTCTCTTGGGTCTGTGTATTAACCAATGCAGCATCTCCCTCACACTCCCCATAACACACAGTGTGATGCACTGTAGTGTTCCAAGGATGATCCATTCTTGTGAGGCTTTACCCATTCCACAGTTTTACTCAGAAAAAAACATCTTCCTTTTATTTTTTTTCCAGTGTACTTCACGTTGTTCCCAAATGACCCCCAACCAAGCAAGCTGAGGAGGCTGTCATTATTTAGTGCCTAAACTCTAAAAAAAGGTCAGAGCCAACAGCATAGCTAATGATGGGAAGTGCTTAATGACGGCTCAGTGATGGGTGGGATATGACTCATGAAGGAAAAAGGGTTGCAGAACTGCAATCACTGAGTGCACTGCATGGCAGATAAAAATCTCTAACTTCTTGTAACCTCAAGCCCACAGCCCCCTTTTCATCCTTCCACTCCCTTTCCTGGTAGCACGCCAAGAATTTCCAAATCACCCACAGCAGGACCTTGCAAAGCCACAGCTAACATGGGAGTTCAGGCTGACCACACTCTCCACACCCGACACCCAGCCTCTGCCTGCGCCACAGGATGCCAGTGAGTCATACTAGGATGTCCCCCTCAGCAAGGACAGCAGTCCCATCACTTCTTCCCCCAAACCGAGTCCTGTGTCTTCTACAGATTAACTGCATTACAGGAGTGGATCAGTGCAAGTATAAAGTGCAAGTAATGAACTATACCATCATCATCCTTATCATCACTGTTATTATTTTTATTCTTTTCTTGAAAAGAAAAAGGAATTAAAGGAAGTACAGGGGTTGATCAGAAAAATGGGGAGGAGGAAAGAAACTGTGCTCCATGTAGTGCAGAATTTAGGTCTAGTTGTGTAACAGGATTGTATTTGACAGTGTTCAGAGGGCTGGGTCCAGGATTTGTGAAACCATGTGGCTTCCTTTACTTTTGAATGTTCCTTTCATTCCCTCAGTAGGCCAGCTACAGGTATGGAGCAATCAGGCAGAAGTCAGGCACATTAGAAAGCCACAGGGTCGTGAAGTATTCACTTCTTAGCAGTATCAACATTATCTTCTTATTTGAAGCAGATGATTTGTAGTTCAAAATTGAAACAAAAGTACTTTTCTGAGTATTCCCACACCTGTTTTACAACTTTTTGTTTCATATTTGTGTTTTCATTTGCATTCATAAATGCAGTAACAGCAAAAAGAGTCTCTGCCATGTCACCACTGCAATATGCACACCCTGAGGACCAGTGGCAATCTGCTGGCTCTCCTCATTAACAGCTAGCAATGATCAGACCATTTACTAGACCTTAAGACAGATCGTGGACTGTTGCTGCCACCTTTGGAAGGTACCAAGTGTACCTGGAAGCACTTATGTATCTATAACCCTGTAATTAAATAGCTGTAACAAAATGTGGAGATACCTGCTTGATTTTCCAAATGCTTGGGCTTCTCATCAGCTCTTTGGGAAGAATAAGGAAGCAAAGCAGAAAGTTGAATGTCTAATTAAACCGATGGAAGGTATGTACTCAGCTCTGCAGAGACCCTTTGAGAGACAAAAGCAAGGGAAGAGGTGCTCAGTGCCATTACAGGCCTGCACTTTATCTTTGCTTCGTAACCTCAGAAACATGGAAGCAATTCTTGCTGTGTAGATCTGTAAATCTGATAATGTTTTATTTCCCAACAAAAATGGAGGCATGGTAGAGATAGACTTGAGGAGTGACTTCATGCTTAGCACAGCCTGTTATTTTAAATGTCAGTCTCCTGGGGGAGGTTCCCATGCCAAGAGCTGTCTTCAGAGGTTAGACGCTGTGAAAGTGGGTGAACACACACCCAACTCGTAACTCAGTCAACCTTCTACCTTCAAAACGCAGAACAAAAAGCTTACAAAACCACACTAATAAGTAGGGCACATAGCTGGGAAACAGCAAGAAGGACATTTTATTTAAACCTGGATAAAAGAAAACAAACCATCACAAAAGAGTTTCTGTGCTTCTCTGCAGCACACCACACCTAGGAGACTAAACAGGAATATAATCATCTATATGTATTTATTCAAGGCAGGGATCTGACCTTTCCAGGTTCATTTGTTTCAGTAAACTTTGCTCATATTCATAAGACTTGCAAGACTGGAACATCAAATAATTGCTGATAATATAAAAAAGTGTGATAGGAGGGACAACAGTGTTTCTTATTATGTGATTATCTTGTTTTTCTTTGAGACTCTGAGAAATAACTTCAAGTATTTTGATTATTTTCCTGACAAATGTACATTTTCCTATTGGTCACTGCACTTCCCCAGATATGAAGCTTTTCTGTGGTCTTTGTGAATCTTAATGAATACATTAAACTGGGTACCAAATAATATTATTGCAATTATTTTGTTCCAGGCTCGTCACTCAATCATCCTCTCAGATGAAATGCCACCGTGCAGGTTGAGCAACAGATCCAGACTGCCTCAGGGATTGGGTGGCTTCAGTCTTTGTCACTTGACCCCAAAATGACACCATGTCCTGACCTATAAAATGAGGACAATAAAATCTATTCACCTTTGTAAACACTGGTGCAACATATGGTTGAATAGCAGTATGTAAATTCAAAATTGCAATTAAACTAAGGCAGAGAGCCAAGTAATCACAAAGCGCTCCCTACTTGAACCAAGCTCATTAATAGTTCTGCTGCTGGAACCATTTTTCTAATGACTTGGTAATGAGCTGACTAAGGTCTGCAAAACCAGATTCTGGATAACTTTTTAAAGTATATGATTACATGGTGATATTGCCTTGGAAAAAAAAAAAAAAAAAGATACCTAAGCCAAAGACTTAAAATCTGTTCTTGCTTATTCCCAATTTGTGTTGGTTGTAACTCTGCAGTCAGCTGTGCCATGAGGAGGAATGAGGGTATTCTGGCTTTTCTGCTCGTTCCCAGCACTGTGGTGGTACTTCAGTAGTACAGTGGATCTGCTACTTTCTGAACCATCAACCAAAAAGGCTGTAGCTGTACAACCAACTCACATGTCTAACTTTCTTCCCTTGCATGCTAGGTTACCCAGGACTCTTAGCAGACAGACAGCTTCATTTTCTATGAGAGGAGATGCATCTGCAGGTAAGGCATCACACTTAATTAAGCATGTCCCTCCACATGCAATGAAGGCACTATATACACTTGAGTGGGGTACACTGCTCCTTCATTCCAACCTGTTTTTCGTAAGGTAACATCAGCCAGTAGCCTCAATACCAACAAATGTTGGACATTAATCTGTCTTCCTTCCTTCTCTCCTTCCTTCTAGCACACCATTAACTGAGGTAATCTACTCGGGGAACCCATTTTTAAGTCCAAAGTAGATTTATATTTCTAGTTCACAAAAGCACAGTTCTTGCCTGATCCCCACTATACCACAGGCATGGATCTGCAATAGAGATGTATTCACACCCACAGCATACAGGTTAGGAGGTGGCACCCCCTAAGGCCCATCTCTGGCCTTCACCCTTAGCAGCTCCACTTCATTACCTCTAGAAACACAATAAAATTAACCAAATAAATCAGCACGTGCAATATCTCACATGCTTTCTCATTGTGTTCCTTGTTCAGGCTTCCTTTTGAGCAAACAGTTCAGCTGGAGTTTGCTATCCAGTCACAGAACTATAGACTGCATCAGACAGAAGAACCTGATTCTCTCCCCTCAGCTTTGACTTTTCCCAATGGCTGCCTACAGTGGGAGAAATGAAAGTGCAAGGCCTGGGGCACATGTCACGTTTTAAGTTCTGCATTGAAAGAAAAAGACTCCTGTCAGGGCAGTTTCCTAGGTCTACATTGAGTCCAATATAGTGAAAGTCCAACCCAGTTCCCCACAGCTATTGCAGCAGTGGAAGCAACCACAACCACCATAATGGAATGCAAGACGTATATACTTTGACCTTACTTCAATTATTTTCTGCATCTGTAATCACAGTGTATTCACAGACATAATCTAAAAACCTATAATCTAATGCAGGAACCAATCCTCCATGGGGGAAGACTGAACGCTGTATTTTTTCCATTTTAAAATTGTCAAGAGGCTGCCTATATGCTATTTCCAGATAAAGAAAGTTATTTATTTCTCATGGCTATTAAGTGATACTAAAGAAGTGTTTACTGACCATACCAACAGCAGACCATCTTTGAGACTATTTGTGAAGGATACGTTCAATGCATGAAAAATGAAACGATAGCAAAAATAGTCACAGTGACCACATCTCTGTGATCAAAACCTTTTCCTCAGCTTCAATGTTGTTTATTAAAGTAACAGGGACGCTGCTCATTTGGTTTCTGTTGTTTGCAGAGACGGCAGCCTGAAGTTATTTCAGTTATTACACCTGCCAGTGAGACTCCACCGTCAATGGCTGTGGTTTTTATGAGGAAGTTGGCTCGTTGTTTGCCCAGCAAAACACTTCACAACTTAAGTCCTCCTGAGCCTTTCAGAGTATGAAAAAGAAGAGATTTTCATCTCTGCAATGTGTTTCATTTTCAGTTATTAGGAAGCAAAACATTTTTTGATGCCTAATGCTGTAAAGTTGATGAGTGATTGATTAACTCCATCACAAACACTCAAGCAGCAACTTTTTCTGCTGCCACTAGAAACATGAAGCTATAGGCCTTGCACTTGAAGCAGAGCATCGCATGCAGAGAAAGCACTGTGTACACCTGGGCCTTAGGGCAAGGGATGAAGAGCAGCTGTAGGAAAATCCCCCTATTTTGAAGCCCAAGAAAATGGTAACAGTGGTAGGCATCCTCTGCTAGTATCAGAGATGTGAACACCTTACATGTTCAGAGTTGCTGACCTGTCCTCCCACTCCCAGGTGGAAATTAAAATCCCAGAGTAGGACTCCTCTGTGCCTATGTAGTATTTCCAAAGAACACAACCAAGTCAGCACACTGGGTGCCTCCCACGTCCTGAAAGATCCTGGGGAGTGCTCACAGCATGACACCGCCCTTGGTTTTCCACTTGGCTTCTCCTGCATTCCAGCTTTCTCTTGTTCAGTGCCAAACTAAAGAACACGGCTCCTATTCCTTCAGCAAGTCAGGAACGCCATGTCCCTGTTATCAGCAATGCCCTCTGAGGCCTGTACAGTGTCAGTCTGATGAGCCACACTGATGCTCCTGAAATTGTTCAGTTACCTCTGACAGATCTGCATGCTCTGAGGAGGACAGATCTCCTTCACCTTTATCTCACGCCTGCATTACAACCCTCTGCGCTAATCCAGAGGTAAACTGCAGAACCTGGGGCTGATAAAGAGCCTGGAAAAGGCCTCTTGAGACATGTCTGTGGAACCAGGTGCCAGCTTTGTATTTCCCACGTAAGAGCCAAGTTCAGACAGGGACTAATGATTTTGGAGGGGTCCAGGAAAGATTACACTCTATACACCTCTCTTTGTGGACAAAAGGGTAAATCAGAAGGGTGGTAGTCAAGCATGAAGATGGGTGGAGGAAGCATAGGTGACATTTTGCCTGTTCAAGGTTTTTGATCTTGTGAAGCATTTTATGGGGTATTTAGTATTTCTGTGCTGCTGAGAGGAGTTCCGTTTCTAAACTCCCATTCAAAGTACCTGGTACTTCCCTCTCTTCCCTGGCCATCCAACAGTTCCTGACAAACTTGAAAGTTCATCACAAAGGATTTTTAGGGATGAGCAGGAAGAGGTCACAAATAAGGGGTGACTGACAGAAAATGTGTTTTTCCTCAGCTATCCTTGTTGGTGTAGGTATCTAGAAAGCCATGCCTGTAAACCATCGTGAGTACAACGTCACTCCCTACAGGTTGCATGTGAGTAGCTCCACTCACCCACATAATAGCTGGAATAAAGGGTGCAACATAAGCGGTGCTTAACGTAACCCCAGATCTTTCGGATTAGCATAGCGGCTTCACACCACACCGATGGCACAGCACAGCATCGTGCTTCTCACAGCACACAGGATGGTGTAGTCTTCCCTCTGTGCATGGTCAGGGAGCCCCACGGGTGCATCTATTCACCCCAAACCTCATCTCCAAAGTGCTCCCCAGCCCGACTGAGTGCCACAAGCCAAACACACCCTGCAGCATCTTGGTCAGCAGTGCCATCACTGCCATTCTTTTCCTCCCCTGCCACTACCTGGCACCTTCCCCCGCCTTGGTGTCAAAGCCCCGCTCAGCGCAGGTCCCACAGGGGCCGCTGGGGATACGAGGCCCCGTGTGTCTGGGCCTGCCCCCTTCCCCCGCACAGGACGGTGCCTGTTGGGGGCCATAAGTGTCGGGCGGGGGCCCGCGGAATCCCCCGGGGCAGCCCGGCCCCTCCGAAGGAGGCCGGTACTAACGCGTGGCCCCGGAGGAGGCGGCCATTGAGGGGTTGAGCGATCGGGTCCCGCGGGGAGGGGGCGGGAGCGGCGGCGCCTGCGTGCCCCCCGCAGCCGAGGGGGCCGCGCCGGGCGCTGGGGCGGGGTCTGCGGGCGCCGACGGGGCGGGCGCCACGTCGGCAGCGGGGAAAGGCGCAGGGGTGAAATCTCTGGCGGAGCGGAGCTGAACCGAGCCGAGTCTGCTGCGTGGTGAGTGGGGGCTGAGCGGCCGCCGCCGTCGTCCTGGTCCCGCCGTTAGCCGGGCAGCCGCCACAGCCCCCTTCCTGCCGCCGCTTTGCTCCTCGGCGCGGAGGAAGGGAAACTTCTGAGGAAGGAGACGGGAGGGGACTCGGCGGAGCCGCCGGAGGGAGAGGCGGGCCTGGTGGAGCGGGGCCGCCGCCGCCGCCACCTGCCCCCGGCGCTTTTCGAATCGCAGCCAGCCCGCCTTTGTGCTCCCTGCCGCGGCACCGGCGGGCGGGAAGGACGGGGAGAGGGCCGGGCCGGCTGCAGCGGCTCCTCCGCGGCCTTGGCTGCCACGTCAGTGCCGCCGCCCTGCGTTGAGGTGCCCGGCGGTGCCCGCGGCTGTGGTCCGCTGCCCGCCGCCTCCCGAGCGCTGCCGGGGAGGCAGGTAGCTACGAGGCGGGGGCTTGCGCCGCGCTGCGAGCGGGTGTGAGGCCTCGACGGAACAGGGCGGGCGTCTGCTCGCTTGTGGGACCGGGACCGGGAGCGGGACCAGTCTCGGGGGCGGCTTCCGGGTCCTGGCCTTGGCAGAGCTCCTACCTGGGTGGGCATCTGGGGGAGCCAAGCTCGTCTTGGCCTCCTCCCTGGCTGGTGTTGTGCTCCCCCGTCAACTTCTCTGTGTCAGGAGAAGCTTTGCTTCATGTGGTCTTCGTAGCCTTCGCCATATACAGATGTTTCCTGTAGTAACCTGCTGTTCATTCCATGCAGTTCTATCAAGGCCAGCTTGATGGAGTAGGATGTGGAAAAGTTTTTTGGTAAGCTGTTTGGGAGCAGCTTGTCTTTCGGCATTCACCTAGCCTAGGTGTTTGTGTGGTGTGGCCTGAAAACTAATGCAAGTTACTTTAGCCATGCAGCAGGTTCTAGTCATTGTGTGAAGCTCATAGGCAGCCTCTGTGGATGTGATTAAATGCTTCCTTCTCCTCATGTAACCAGGCTGAAAACAAGAGCTCTGAATCAGGATATCATTCCATGAGGAAGACGAATATCAAGTGCATGTAGCCTGCCTCAGTGTTCAGGCAGTATGCCTCTGTAAACTGGAAGGATGCATGTGAGATAGCTTAATTTAGTTCGCAAATACTGCTTTGTATGCACATCAGTTATAAGCCTGCTGAGTAAATGCTACACAGACTTTTTCTCTCAAAGGTTTATCTTAAGCTTTGGTTAAACATTCAGTGAAGTTGGTGTTGCCTCCTCAGTACAAAAGGTGGTCCTTGTCTGGCAAGTCAACAGGTCTAAATGTCAGACCAGAGCCAACAATCGCGGGGAATGCATGGGAAAGAGTTCATTAGCAAGAGGTGGCAAGGAATTTCAGTGACTGCTCTATCACTCCAGCTCTTAGGTGCTGTCAGGTTTTGTCTTTGTAGGCCTCATGGAGGAGGAGTGCTGAGGCAAAGTGGACCTCAAGGCATTGATAAAGCATTACAAGAAAGGGAGAAGGCTCTGCCTTAGAAAGCTGAGCTAGCAGGAGGCATAGGGTGACAGGACTGGTAAAATGGAGCTTCCATGGCCTTTCTGAAGCTGTACCCTGTGCCTTCCTGGAATTTACCATCTAATTTCTAGAAACCAAGTTTGGAGAATTAGAAAAGGGGAATTTTTCTTATGAATCCTTGCTTCGGAGAAAACTTCATTGCCAACATCGGGTGTTCCCTGGAGCCTGATCTATATTTTAATTGGAGAAATGCTCTGGATTCTCATATAGGTAAATATGATGCTGTAATGTCCTGTGCAAAGTTAAGGGTTAGGGTGATTTTTGTTTTGCAGGAGACACGCTTCCTTTTTTGCCTTCAACTGTGTGTGCAGGGTGTATTTGTTTTTTAATACACCACATGCACATAATTAATGTTGCATTACCGTCCCAGCTGTGTGCTGAGCCCTGCATACTGTGAGCCTGTTGTTTAAATCTTTTGTGGTAGGCTTGGCATGTTTTCTGGGGGGCTGTAGCCCATTCTGCTATAGCTTTAAAAGTAATCAGTGTTCACACCTGGAAACTTCTGATCAACTTTTTGCGTTCTTTCC